GCACGCACGCACGCACACTCACACACACACACACAACTACTTCATATTCACCGACTTTTTTGTATGTTCATCTGATTAATTTGACACGTTGGACTTCATCCAGACACTTTCATGATTGGAGCAGAAGAGCATAGAGGGGATGAAGCTGTACCGCAATGAACATATGTATAACTTATAATAAACTGGCTTCTTCTTAGCTGAAGGCTAGTGTGTGAACGGTGCCTGTAAAGCTGTATGCACTGCCCGCGATAGAACCACAGCTTGTTGCAAGTTATATAATAATGAAAACAGGTGACTGGGGTGCTCTGTGGAAATTTGATGGTCGCCATTCTGCCCGTTGAAAGTTATGTATCTATCAGATCAACTCTGACACTACTATTTTAAGGTGGAAAAGTTCCTTATTGTAGCTTTAAAATTAAGCTTGATGCCCCGACCAGCTGAACCTAAGAGATAAGCAACAACAACAGTCCGCTACAAGACACTACAATGGGAATATTTGCCTTTAAAGCAATGCTACAGAATGTATCGTTCGATTGAATCATATCTGTGAATCAATACTGTACAGAAAACCTAATGCAGCAGTTTAATTACATACATGCCAAGTTTACCTGTTGGGGCGATACAATCTATGGTCGTGTACTGATCGCAGGGAATAAACGTCACCAACCCCAAATATTGTGTCTCAGATTTTCTGCAGAAATAATACTGGGGGACAAATCTTGTATAAAGTCTGAATGAAAAATTCTGCTTTTTGCATTCACACATGCAGCTCAACCTGAAAACATCAGGCATTTTGTGCAAGTGTGAAATCACCATTAGAATGAAGTCTTGTTTACTTTCATTAACTGCTTTCTTGGTCAGTATTAGTTCTTTGTTTTTTTAGTTTCCTGTTAAATGGATGTCCTGTTCCTATGAAGGGGGAAAACAACAAATAGAAACAGATTCATGAAATGTAAAATCAATTCAGTGAAATTTCTTGTGCACAGTGTGAGATATTGGAACATTATGTAGCCTATTTCTATCCACAATAAGCTGGCAGATGGTCATCTCACGCTCCATTTATGTGCATGTTGGATGTTTTTTTGTTCTTTCAAAATTGAAGTTGGATGCTCAGTTTTCACAGTTTATTTTCTTTTGTGGTGGGAAGTGAAATAAAACATGGAGGTGATTAAGCACATGATATATATTCTGATCGCTACACGGCTGAGAGATCTGGCTACAGAGAATATAGAAGTTTGTTTCATGTTCCCAGTCAGTGTTTTGTGAATGTGTTGTACAATTTGTCATTTCTAGAGCAAACAGAGAGGTTGTGATTTGTGTTAGATAATGCAGTTACATCACACTTACATTAACTCTGTTATTTCATCCTCCTACCCCTTCAACCTTGTGCTTCCATGATGGGTCTTTTTTTTTTTTAATACCATGTTATTTTAGAATGACTGCATTCGACATCTTGGACTGAAATATTTCATGAATTGTCATTCATTCATTGGTTTTGTTATATTTTTTCGTAGCCGTTTCAAAAATTCTGTGTCAGATATTTGCCTGCATTTGTTTTCCGAGACTGTAAGATTGAAAGAATTCATGATTTTTAAAATGTTAACAGTTATTAGCAGGCAATTGGCGGCCCATAAGGAGGGAAGCTTTCTGGGGCCCTGCCACATGGGGGGGCCCCCATGTTGGTTATCAAAAACAAGGTCCATCCTAAATTGAAACAATGATCACCAAATTTTATTTTAAACCTGAATACTAAAACAGAACTTATTAAAGCAACAAAACTTGACATTTTATTTATTGTTAATTCAGTAAAATGTAGCCTGTTTAAAATGAAAACCCCCTTTTTTCTTTTTTTTTTAAATGTAAGAGCATTTGTTTTTGTAATGTTATTTTCATCGGCGGGCCAATTTGAACTTATGTGATACTCAAGTAATATTGGACTGTGTATTGTCATCATGCCAAGACCTGCACAAAAGCTGGGAAGGTCAAAAAAAAAAAAGAAAGGATTAAAAAAATACAATTTGAGCCCAACAATCAGCATTTGGAACTTTTTTTAATTTTAAGATTTCCACTTCAAACAGATCAAATCATTTTCCCTAAATTTACAGTGAATTTGTGTGCCTGGTCTTGACACGTGTCTGTAAAGCTGTGATGATGATTCAGTGAAGAGGCTGCAGAGTTTCAGTCCTCCTCCAGTTGGCTCCAGGGACACCATGTGACATTTCACTCAGCTCTCTCTCTTTCTTTATCAAACACTCATTCAATCTTTTTTTTTGTCTTTGTTTCTGAGACTTTCCTGTTTTCTGATAAACACGGTTGACAGTTCTTTGTAATACTATTTTTTAACGCTGATATTTATTGCCCTTACCTTACATATGTGGTCACTCTATGATGTCTGGATATATCACAGGATACCATACTATTTGACACAATAGTGCACCTTTAACTTTGTGGAAACAGCTTGGGAGAGGCCCTTTCCTGTTTTAAAATGACACTTCCCTCATACACGACGTCAGAGAGCCATGAAACAAAGATATTTTAGACCGGTAGCACTGAGTACAGTTGATCTGAATGTTATCAGACCTGTCCGATATTAGAAGGTCATGGGCTAGTAGGGCCTTACCCTACCTCCTGTAAACTTTAAGGGCATGTTCAGGGGACGGTTGGAGTGGACAGATTGATAAACAAATTTGAAACTCTAAACAAAGCGACTGGGCTTCATGTCTCGTGAGACAAAAAAGCGATGCCGAATTAAATAATGTTTATATGGCATGACTTAACTTATTTTCAAAACCTAACCAAACGGTCAGTTTCAATTAAAGTTTATCATGTTTACCATGATTAAAAACATAATGAACCCACTGCTCACTTACCTACATCTCCAGATGTAGAGGGTACAGTGTGAAAAACAAGAAACTAGGTAGCTGTAGCTCAGGGATGTCAAAGTTCTAATGGGTCACGGGCCGGATTTGTTCAAATGAGACCTCAAGTGGGCCGGACTAATTTTGCCAACATCACTATAACTCAACACATGGATATATAGGCTAATGTATGATTGTATAGAAAACTTTAACATTAACATTAAGCAGAGGGGTTAACTGTCATTGCAACCTGCATGTTGGCACATGGAAATATTTAAATCACATTACAGAAGAAAATATCAATAATTATGTTTTGTTTGAGATTATTTAAATATTGCTGTTCAAGGTTATAGAAACTTTGACACAGGTTATTCTACCTGACAGACTGTGCGTGATATCGTTTTTGGATAAGAATGAAATGTTCATTAATAGTTATATATTTACAGTCTGATGAAAGCTGCTGATAAAGTCGCAAGAACAGGTTGCATTTAGAAGTGATGTCGCACTGAAACTTTTTGGTGATCAACACAACACGTTCACCTCTGGGTGACCTAAAAACGAACCAACTGTAAATAAAATCAGTTAATATTCATTTTTAATTTACTGTTTTTACAATAACCAGAGGTAAAATAAGTCGGGAGATGCATCAGGCTCAACGCCGGTGTCCACAACCTACACTTAGTCTGGATGTGTGGAGACGGTCTGGGCCGTTACGCAGGGCGGAGATGATTGTTTTTTATTTGCACGAGCTGCTCTTTGTGGCTCACTCCATAGGAAGCTTTGTTATTATCAGCCACAACTTTTGTTTTCCATCAGTCAAGCCAGGAGAAACTGGAAAGAAATGTGGACAGAACTGAAAACTGTCATGATGAGCGCGCAGTGCAGCGGTGTGCCTGTCGTTAAGTCCCGTAGCTTTGATGAAATGCTGGCAACTTGTGAGCAAATAAAACTAAAGAAATATCGCTCCTTCGATCTCTCTTGAAATTGCATTCTGTGTCACCTCTCTCAGGTGTTCAGCCCGTTTTCTTATGTTATGTATTACCAGTGTAATGCAGGAGCAGCTTGTGATACTCCCTGCTGAGAAGATAGTTCAAAGTGTTCAAAGTAATATTCGCATCATGACATCAACCTTTGCGTTGCTCATTTTACATAGGTTTTAATACAATTCGGGGAAAATACGTATTACAAATATTTAATCTATAAAAAAATCTCAAAATATTTTTCATTACATTTCCTCCTTCTTCCCAAAACGTCTCGCGGGCCGGATGAAACCTGCTGTCGGGCCGGATAGGGCCCGCGGGCCGTATGTCTGACATCCCTGCGTGTAGCTGGTGTTTTCATCTCTCTGGCCTGCTGTCTTCTCTTTTGGGTTAAGCTGACTCCATGTCTACTGACGGGAACAAATAAATCAATGTGTCAGAAAATGTGAACAACCTAACAAGCCTGTTTTTTGTTGTTGTTGTGAGCTTAGATGCTGCTAGGCGCTAATGTATAAATGTCATGATATAATATAAATGTAGCAAAAACTTGCAGCACCAGCTTCTTCAATGGACCAACAGACCAATACACAGCAAGCCATTTGTCTAATACTCCAAAGAAACCGACAACACAAACACAGCGGATGTCAAGTTCAGTGACAGAATTAGCTAAGCTAACAATTAGCAGTATGAATGTGTCACTCAAAGAAACCACGCCCCAAATGATGCGTATACTTAGAGGCAAAAACATTATACTAACATCTATCCTTGTCCAGTTCTTTTGTTGTTGTTTATTATAGTTTTATTGATGTTTATTTCTGCTGTTAAGTTGAACATTTTTATATGGGTCCCTATTGGCACTGACTCCCTTTTGGAGCCAGCCTCAAGTGGCCACTTGAGGAATTACAGTTTTTGCCACTTCTTTTCCCAGCCTTGAAGGATGCAGATTAATTTGCAAATGACTGATTCCTTGACTAATGTTTCATTTGTGATGTCAACATACAATGCATTGATGTACTGTCTGCCTCTGTCATTACGATGAGTGGACGATAACCTTTGTGATGAAAGCATATTAATGACCCAGCAAATAAAAGAAGTCAAAAGGCTGTATGTAAAGTGTAGGTAGAGGAATAAACTAAATCTGCATCTTTCTCTCTTTTTCCAGGTTGAAGAGGAGGAAGAAATAGGGTTTGCTGAAGGAACAACAGAAAGTGAGTGATTGTGTGTAACAGTTTAAAGAAAAAACATGAGCACAACACCAACACATCTTATTACCAGAGCTGTTATTAGCAGTTATTCCCTATACTGCCAGTTTTACATAAACTAGCAGCCAACGCTATTCAGCATTTTATCTAAGATGTTTCAGCTGAGCAAATGTCACATGCAGATGTAATTCATCAGAAGCCTGAGTGAACTTCTGTCTGTAGTCGTGCTAGTGTGTGTGCGTGCGTGTGTGTGTTTCATCAGTGTTGCTCCGCATCAACAGTATTGATTGTGTAATAGAGGGGGAGGAGAGCACATCTGTTGAATCAGTGTTGCTGGTTAAACATGATGGCTATCTCGTCAGCTAGCTGTCCATCTACGAACATCTTCGTGCAGCAGGCAGAGGAAAGGGAGAGGAGGAGGACATCAAGCTGATTAAACTCGAACAAACCCTGCGACACTTTGGCGTTTTATATTTTGTGGAAAATGTTCTCATGTCGGGTGTGGTTGCTGCTTGCACATACTGGCCAAAAAGCTGCCAATACTCTGAAGAACAGCAGAAACTAGCACACACAGAGAATGGCTAAAGTACCCACAGCTGCCACTCCTCCTCCTCCAACCTTTATCTTGACATCTGTTGTGAAAAAAAACAAAAAACTTAATATGTTGGCACTGTCGAAAAGACGGACGACATTTAATCTCTCCAAAAGTGAAGCCAAAACATTTGGAGCTCCCCCTTCTGAGTGGCTCCTTCACGTTAACAGATCAGGACATGGGTCAAACAATAACATTTTCTCAATATTTTGGTTTCAGTTTTGTACAATGGGAGGAGGCAGAGACATGTTGTTCATCTTTATCTGCAGCCAATAGTCAAGACTTTAATCCCCAAATTGCTAACAAAGGAATAGCTTCCTTATTTAGTGTGTGTGATTAAGTTTATTGAACTACATTCTAATGGGACAGTTATGAATATGTGAACGGTTGAACGTTACCATTAGTGTTAAGTGCCTACAGTGGTCAAAGATTTAACAGGTGCTATGGGGTTAGGGTTAGGGGTAGGGTTAGGGGTAGGGGTAAGTTTGATAATTTCCCTTTTGGTATAACTGTTGTATTCATTCTTTCAGTGGTGGAGAAAGTTAACTGATGACTCAACATCCTTTTAAGAGCCCCTGCTGAATGCAGACAGTTAATGAAGTATTTGCTTTGTCCTATTTAGCTGCTTAAACTACTTTTGTTTGAGTGTAACTTCTGATCATTTTCATCAATCTGCAGATTACTTTCATACAATGTAAGAAGGTTGGATAAATTAACAAAGAACCCAAAGTGTCATCTTCCTCTTCTTCCTCCTGTGAGAAATACTCCGTGTGATCAATCTCTCACATGCATGGTAGAGAAAGAAGGAGTAAGTTAGAGTTTAACTTTGGTGCCTGAATTGTTCTGTGCTGCATGTTTAACTCTGATCTTTTTTGTGTTTGTCCTCTGACAGGTTATCGTACAGAACAGAAGAAACCAAAGGTCATCTTTGTGATGGGTAAGTACATGAAGATGAACATCCACACACACACACTCATAGTTGTGGGTGGGATCGTAATCAGCTGCCAGCAGCTGTAAAACTGTTACACTGTTCTCTTACACACAAACACCACACACTCACACACGTCAAGCATGAAGAAAGAATCGGGCTACCTTTTGTGTGCATGTTTTCAGAAGACTACTGTAAACTCAGAAAAAGTTGCATCAAGGAGCACAGCTTGATTTTATAATCGTCACAACACATTTTAAATAAAAAACGATCATCACTCTGAAATGAAAATCTAGTCCATCCAAATATAGATCCGTTCAGTTTGCACATTTTAATGTTTTCTGTTACCAGATGCCAACACCTTTGTGGTGTGCATGCAAGATTACCGGTATACCTTTTTATCCTCTTTGGGTTCATTTTCAATGGATAAGCAACATTCTCCCGCACAGGAGAACTCTAAACCTCTTTTGATGATATCTTAAATCAATTTGTGTCACTGAGCTGAAACTTGCGCTGTTTTTCAGAACTCCTTCAGTTGATGTTTAAGGAACGTCATAATTGATCAAAATGAACAGACTTTTCTCACATCAATCATCGTTTCATTTCTTTTTTGTGTAAGATTTATTGCTGGGCTTTTTATTCCTTTTTTTAAACAGGACAGTGGATAGAGTAGGGAACTGGGGAGGGAGAGAGAGAGAGAGAGTAATGACATGTACGTAATAAAGGAGTTACAGGTCAGACTTCAATCTGGCCTTCTCACCTCGAGGACTACAGCCTCTGGACATGGGGCATGTGAACTAACCACTAGTCCATGAGGTACTCTTTACCGGTCATTTCTAAAACAGAAACTCTCTGCAAGTATGTGCTAGGTATTTTCTCTTCATGACACTATAGAAATATGTTTACAGGGTTTTTCAACATTCAGGGACAATTTGATGATTTAACCCTACCCTGGAATTTTTGTTTTCTTATTACACAAATGTTTATGAGACTTAAATCATTAGACCTTAAATCCAGAATCATAAACTTTAAAGTGACTTTAATTATAAAGCAGCAGTTAAGTAATGATGACTATCCCAGGTTACTTTAATATTGACTTGCAGTAGAATTAAAGGGATAAAAAAGTGCCCAATCAGTAGACAGAAAATTGAAGATATTTCACAAAATTAAAATCAAATTTCTCAGTCGTTGCTTAAGAGTAAATGTACTTACTCACTTCCACACCCCCTGAGGCAGAGTGTTGCGTTTTCATGGGATCACTTAGTATGCAGTGAGAGTCCAGTGAGTCGGTGTGCGGCTCTCACTGTTCATTTCAACAGGACAGAGAGATGAAGGTTAATGAAAGATCTGAGACACACACAGTTCCCATTAACCACTGCTCACTCTGCTCCCGTGAAAAAATTACCAAAGATTCAGTTGGTAAAGGTTTATTGCAGTGCTTACTGTCAGACCCTCAAGTGTTCAAATCAACGCCACAAATCCCCACGGCACCTCTTTGGATAATGTGTCTCTCAATTGTTCAGAAAAACGGTTTCATGAGATTGTCTTTAAACACCTAGCATAAAGAGTAACATTAGCATTGATTTGAAGTCGTGTTTTTTTGTTTTTCTGAAGGTCAGTAAAATAGTCGCTCTTCTTTTAGCTCTGTTTTGTTCTCCACCAACTCCTGAGATAAATATTTGGCTCTTTAGCTGCAAAATGTTCAACTTTATTCACTAGCTAGTTGATTACTTTGTCTGTATGCTGTTCAGTGTTGAGCAGGCAGCACATGAAAACTGCCACCTGCTTCTGGTAAGAGGAATCTGAAGAACAGCTTTAGGATTTTCAGTGGGTTCAACAGCTTTCACATCACAGAATGTCCTTTGATAAAGCCCTAGGAAGCCCACCTCAACGATTTTTGTTTTTAACAAAAAATCTCATGTCATTTTTTAAACCAAAACATCACTCACTGTGAATCTTGGCCAACAACAATGTCAATAAAGTCTCTTTCAATTTTCAGCAGAGTAATGCAACTCACTTTGTCTAACATCTACCCTGTGGTCTAGTTAGCTGTTGATGTTCACAAAGTGGCATGCCCCCAAAATTTCTGTCTGTTTCATGAACAGTGAAAAAACTCCCCACAGGACCTTTAACATCGTCAGACTTCAGATGAACCCTTTCACTTTGCTTTATTTATAGCACTTTCAATCTTCCAAAAGCATTTTCAAAACGCAAGATGCAAAAGTCTTCTTAGCATGGAACATAGGGACTAAATTATTTAGTGAAAATAAAAGTACTGAAGTGAAGTAACTGTTTCTCTTGCTGACTCTTTACCTTGAAACCGTGCGATGTGTTTGTGTTATCCATGAGACGCACTCAAAGATGACCTTGGTATGATCATGTTTGTATATCCTCAAAATTGAGGGTTTATTTTCAAGCCGGGACAGTTTAGACTCCATATGCATATGAAGTACTCTGTGACACAACTTGAGGACTTCTCACTTCTCTATATAAAGTTAACGCCAACCTCCCCTGCTCCAACCACACCTCCTGCACTCGCTCTTTTATAAAGCTGCTCCACCACTGCTGCTGATGCTGCTTCTCGGTCCACTCCGCTCTTTTAAAAGGTTATGAAGGGTTCAGAGTTGTCCATCAGCTATCAGCTCTCTGAAAATGCTGATGGGTACCATCTAAAGTAGTAACATGGGGGAGAAAAGGATTATAGCAGCATTATATAAGAGTTTAAAGTAGCTGATGGGAAGTGGATACATACCCAGTTTGGAGTCAAAGGAAACGCCAAACCAAAGTAATGTGTTTTGGTAAAAACATACTGTATGTCATACAAAAATCAAAATGATCCTGAAATCTATTCAAAAAAGCTATTAAATTATAAACAATATGTCTGGCTGTTGCAAGCATACGTTTGTTTAGAAACATGTAAATTAGTTGCTATAGGTTCAGTGGCTGATGCAAACTTGCCTTACTTATTCCTCCTGCATGTTGCCAATCATCAAAAACACTGACATAAACATGGAGATAGATTTTTTAAAACATCTGAATTAATATGTGAACTCTTTCTTAACCTCTTATTAAAGTAAATATATTTTGAGTAAATCTGTTCTGGGTAGCATTATTGTTCTTAAGTTATTGTTTTTAAGAGTTTCATAAGAGTAAATGCTTTAAACCATCCAATAATTGTGGGAAAGATAACTGAAAGTTCCTGGTGTTTTGCCATTGCATCCATACATTCCTCCTCTATTCATGGTCTTCAATTTTAAAATCTTTCACCGCTTACACTTTTGCATAAGTAGGCTTGCTCAGTTGTACCCAGATGTCGACCCAACATGTGTGAGATTTCACCAGGCCCCTGCTACTCCTTTTCATACGTTTTGGTCATGACCAGCACTGAGGTCATTTTGCTCGTCTATTTTCTGGACATTCTGTCACGTGAAGAATCGATATCATTCCAGACCCAATCACTGGCATTTTTGGAATGAGTCCAGCAGGGGTATTTCTCCCTGACTCTCAATCAAAGGCAATAGCTTTCTCGTTTCTTCAAGCCCGTCCCCTAATCTGCCTCAATAGAAAATCAACATCACCACCATTGCATACACAATGTTTTAGAGCGGCCATGTATCATCTCGAGCTGGAGAAGCCGAAGAACACCAAAAACGGCACCACTCAGAAATTCTATAAGATATGGCAACCATCCCTCAATTTAAGAGACAGACACTCCGTCTTCCCCTTTCATTACCTTCCCTCCCGTTCTCCTTGATTTAGGGATATATAGTTATCTTTTAAGGATGTGTTGGTTTGTAGAATGTTATATATCTTTTGTGAATTGTAATACTTTATTTCTAATTGTACGCAATAGATTCTGGCATGGAGACATGACCATATGGGAACCTCAGCACTCTGCTGCTGATTATAAGTGGTGCTGCACCTTTTTGGTGAGAAAGTGGTGATGCCTGGGGGATATGTGAGGGTTTCTCTTCTCTCTGTGCTCATTTTCGCTCCTTCATTTTCTCATCCCATCTCTCTCTCTCTCTCTCTCTCTCTCTTACTTCTATCAACCTCATATCTGTCTCCCTGCAGAGTGAAGAAAATGATCAATTTCACACGTTTCAGGCTTAGTTTTAATAGAGAATAACCTGCTGTCGGTGATACGATTGATGTCAATAATTCTGTTGCTATCCTAAATTGAAGATAAGCAGTTTTAGTAGTTTTGATTTTATTTAAATGTGTGAGGTTTGTAGTAAACCTGTAAGTCAAACAAAGAATATTTAAAACTATTTTCAGCAGTGGAATAATCTGGCCAAATTGATGATGTTGTAGAGTTGCTGTTACAGGCAGTGATAGTAATGGTTCAATTCAATTCAATTCAATTCAAAAAACTTTATTTGTCCCCAGGGGGCAATTCAAAGGCACACAGAGCAGTAAATTAACAACAGTGCAAGTAAACAAAACATTTTAACCTAAATATAAAGTGTCAATTTAAATACAACTTAAACTTAACTTAAAAATACTAAATATAAAAGAGTAGATATAAGTGGACAGTGATCAGACTAACAGATGTAAACAGATGTAACCAGAACTATGTGCAGTAAACAAGAAATAAATATATATATACAGTACTATGTGCAGTAGTGACCAGATGTAAACAGAACTATGTGCAGTAAACGAGAAATAAATATATATATACAGAGCTATGTGTAAGTAGGCAAATACTAAATGATAAGTTATTAAGGTGTATGGTGAATAATGGAACAACAGAACTAATATATACAATATAACTGTAAGGTAAAAATTAGATAAATAAAGTGACCGTAGTGCAATGATGGATAAGAAACAACAGGAATAAATTAACCAGAACTGTATGAATACTGATATAAAATGGATAGAATAAAGTGATGTAGTGCATGAGACCAGATAAAGCAGAGGCAGTTAAGGTGCATGTCAATATAAAGGAAGTTCACAGCTGAGAGTCTGCATTGGGTGAGAGGTGTTGGTGTCTGTTGGGGGGGGTTAGGAGTTGAGGAGCTGGACAGCCCTGGGAACAAAGGTTGCTCTTCTCCTCTGTGTCCTGCAGCAGGGACAGCGAAGCCGGCGTCCTGAGGGGAGCCACTCAAACGCTGGGAAGAGAGCGTGTGAGGGGTCCTGCATAATCCCACCTGCTAGCCTGATTGTCTGTTGCTCATAGATGGATGTCAAAGTCCTTACAGGTAGTCCAATGATCTTAGAGCAGACTGTGACCGTGCTCTGCAGGCGGTTTCTGTTCTGGAGGGTGGTGGAGTGGAACCAGCAGGTTATAGAAAAAGTAATAATGCTCTCAATGAAGGAGTAGTAGAAGGTCAGAAGAATGTTCTTACTGACTCCAAAGGAATTGAGCTTCCTTAGGAGGTATTTTCGCTGCTGACATTTCCTGAGAATCTCCTCGGTGTTGGAGGCGAATTTCAGCAGGCTGTCAAAGATGGTACCCAGGTACTTATACTCCTCTACTAGTTCGACAGGATTCCCATGGATTGTGGTGATTGCTGATGCAGCCAGTTCCCTCTGCTTGTTGGAGAAGGTCACCACCATGTCTTTGGTTTTGCTCACGTTCAGTTCGAGGCAGGAGCTGTCACACCACTCCACAAACTCCTGAAGAACTGGTCCATGGTGCTGAGAGGGGCCTGACAGCAGAGACAGGAGAACTGTGTCATCCACGTACTTCACCAGGTGACAGTTTGGCTGTGTGGTTCTGCAGTCATCGGTGTCGAGGATGAAGGCCTGCACAATACAAGAAAAACTAGTATGACAATATGAAAATGTATTGTGAGCAGGTTATCACAGAATGGAACCCCGACAGGGTCCACCATGAAGGGGTTTCTCCACGATAACCCCGCTCCCCAAACATTATCCCCTTTATTACACATGCTATACGGACTTAAGAGAGCATGTTTGCTTGGTCCTGAGTATCCCGGTCATGAGCCTTATCCTGGTTATGACATACATGGCATTGCTCTCGCCACCAAAAACTGTATAAGTTTGGTTAAACATGTATGATCTGCTCACAGCTTTCTGACAGAAATGTATTTATTTACATTGGATCCCCATTAGTTAACAACTATTCTTCCTGGGGTCCATACAAAGAAAACAAGATGGGGAACATCACAAAACCTGATCAACCAAATTCACAGCATTAAATAAAAATAAAATACAATCACAGACAAATAAAGGATTGATACAAAGATGGTAAAACAACCTAAGAAGCATTCAAACCTGACTTCTTAGTCAATCAAATATAATTTGCATTCAAATACAAGATGTTACATGCAGACCAAATGCAGACTTCTTTAGTAATAACTGCGTTCCTTTTTAAAAGTCATCTTATCAGTGATCTGGGTTAAATTTGGTGGCAGTTAATTCCAGTTCAACATTACCATATACATGACCGTTCTCTCTAAATTATTGGATTTAGGCAAGGGTAATGTGAAGCACTCAATATTGCATCATAATTATGTCTAACATTTGTGTATGTGAGCTGGAAGTTTAAGTATGTAGGTTTTCTAGATGTATAAATATTACTATTAATACATACAAGCCTGAAGCAGTTTGATTATATATTTTTATAGAGATACATAGGGTGTAGAATCAACCTCATACAAACATATATGTTGATAATATTTAATGTTATTCTAGTGTCATTATTACTGAGTTTGTTCCCCGAGTTGGTTAATCTTTACTTCTCCAATCTGAGATATTTGATTCTGCTTACACCTCTACCAGGATAATTAGACTTTAAGAGAGCAATGACAGCAGCTCTTTTTGATTGACAGGTCTGCTAGGTTCAAACATACAGCCCTGTAGCTGTCACTTGCACTCATCTTGGATCCCATTTGTCACCAAAAATGCAGAGAGAAGTGTAGGATTTGTGGCTCAAAACAACTCACAGTATGACAGTAAGCACAAATCCAAACCCTGAAGCCAGCATCTGAAATCCAGGCACTATATGCTCATCCTTCTACAGTCAGTGTTTACTCAACAGTAAATCATTTTCACATCCACAAAGAAAAGCCTGCAATTTTTTTAAAATTAATACATGGTGACATTGGAAGGAAAAATCCATACAGCAGATTCAATCTATTCTTTGAATTCCAGCGCTCAATAAATACATTTTTGCACTTTGCAATATCCTGCTGGTGATCATTAGAAATGTGTGAAAATTGATGACTATAACTAAAGCCTTTAAATGAACAGAGGTGAGCAGCTTGTCTCATCTGAAGCACATTTGTCATTCAGGCTGAATTATTATTTTATAAAAGCATCACCTGCTGATGAACTGAGGAAGAATAATGTTACAATTCACGTAGCAGAAATGGATTCACAAATTAAATTACAATATGTTCATCTGTTCTACTTTTCCTTATTATCTCTGTCTACTGCCATTTCTCCATCTACAGTAATACAATCCATCTGTCACTTCAAATCTTCCTTCTTAACTCCACTGGATCTGCAGAGTCCCTTTGCACCTTTAAGAAAAAGCTAAAGACCCAGCTCTTTCATGAATACCTTAATAATGATGATGGTTTTGATATTAATGATGATGATGGTAATGACGATGGTTTTGTTTGATAACAATGATTTTACGATGGTTTCTATACCAATTCGAGATCTCAGGAACAGCTGTCGATGTTGTCACAGTTGGCCACCAACTTGTGGACATATTGGAGCACTAGGCAACTAGAGAGTCACATATTTTATAAGATGGCGGAAACCAAAAATGGAGTTAAGCCCAGTTAATATTGGACTAAGATGAATAGGTTGGACATCAACAATACAAATGAACAACACTAATAGGTTGTTTCCAATGGCCCAAAGTGGCCTAAAGATTCCAAGACAGCTGGTTTACATGTAATTCTTACTAGACAATTCAAGAGAAGCTAATAAGGCATCAAATAAATAGATAAGTCAATTTACTCAATTTGGGAGTCAGAACACAAACAGCAAAAGCAGATAGGAAAAGAAATGCTGCAATATGAATACACCTCATTTTATCTAAAACACTGACTTGCAATGTGAGTTAATCTTAATTTATAATGGTCTCAGAAAGTAAAAGCTGTCTCTGCATACAGAGCTGGTTCATAAGGAAGGCTGGAGTTTGACCCGACTAACCACACTAACAAGCTTCTCTGGGCTTTCGCTTGAGACATGGTGGGTCATTATTTCCCTTCCTGCCCGACATGTCAAGCAGTAGAGGTGAACACTTCAGCGAGGAGGCGTGGGGGGGGAGGCTGTGCAGCATTTTGAAGTTGGCAAAAATAGTGAATGTGTGTTGAATACACAATGAATGAATACATTACTGCTCGTCTCATGATTTCTTATGGACCTTTTCTGACTGTAACGGCCCCTAAACTGAGCCTGGCTTGTATCTGTCAGATGAGGATGTTTGTTTCAGAATGCTGGCTAAAGATGGTCGTCGAGGAGAATATTGATGAATGTGAAGCACATCATGAGTTTTATTACTAGGCCCAAGGCTGGTTATGATAAATCACCACTTCCTAGCCTCATGGCCGTGTAATACAGTTAACCTGTAATAAAAACACCACCAGACATTTCAGTTGAGAAGTGGAGTGGACGGACTGCCGGGATTTCTTTCATAGATATTAGAATAAATTAAATTACTAAACTGTTGGTGGTTTGATTTCTTTTGAGGTTTAATTCAAAAGACAAATGTTTTTCAGATGTGCACCTCTAATCTGTAAGGTATTTTCAGCTCTAAACTAGAGTTTCTTTTTGTATGTGTGTGTATGTGCAATTATTAAACTATTTCTTACAGCCTTTTGCAAAAAATATTTGGAAGAGTAGAGGTGGCAAGTGATATGAAAATAAAATACTCAGCAAAGGTATAAATACCTCAGATTTGTTTGTACTATACTATTGATCTACATGGTTACATTCTGCAACTGATTTAAGGTTAAGTGCTAGAAGAGGTAGCATTGGGGGGACCTCAGATGTATAAAACAGCAAACATATCTGTGTGGTTTTGTGCGATTGTGTATGTGTTAAACTAAGGAACAGCTTCAACAAGAGAAGAGAAGGATGGATAATCATCATGTGATAATAACCTGGCTCTCGGCCCCTGGCTATAAATCAGACCTTTACTCAGGCCACACACACAGGTCACCTGCCCACCTGCAATCTGGTCCCTCTCTTATATCATCCCATCCATTTCTTTGTGTGTCTTTGTGTGTGTGCTCTCTCTCAGGTGGTCCAGGATCTGGTAAATCTCTGCAGTGCGAACGGATTGAGGAGCGGTTTGGCCTGCATCGGGTCACGCTGGGTGACCTGCTGTGCACTGAGCTGAGGTCTCAGAGCGACAGAGGACGTCGCCTGCGGGATGTCCTGGAGAGAGGAGAGCAGCTGCCGGAGGTCAGTACGGCACATTAGCTCTGCTATCAGAGGACAAGAGCTGCAGTTATAGAGCTGTGAGGTGAAAGAGGGCACAGGTGCTGGGAATGGTTTTCCCCAATCTATATCCCCATCTAAATGTTTCTTTTATCAGAGCTTGAAGAAATATGAATAAAGAAACTGTTGAATTCCCATATTATAATTTAAATATATATATATATATATATATATACACACACACACACACACACACATGTTTGCCTTTTTAAATAGGACAGCTGAAGAGAGAGAGAAAATGTGGGAAAGAGAGAGTGGGGTACATGCACCAAATTGTCATTCGTCAATCCAGAGATATGTGACTATGCGTCTGTAAAAGGGGCACCTGCTCTACAGACAGAGCTAAAACAGAACCCTAATTCTGTTTTGTTTGGGGGTTTTTTGCATTACTGCTCATTTGCTAAAAGTAGTTTTGCATTGCAAAGACGAAAAACAAGCTGAAACCAGGCCAAAAGCACTCAAATGCAAATATTGCATAATGAGATGTGTAGGGATACTTTCTTAAGTGTAGAGTGTTTGGAATTACTAAAAGCAAGATAAGAGTACCAGCAGTGATCACAAATTTGGCTGAACATAAATTTCAAAGAATTGGGATGTCACAAAACCACCCACACTGTTTGATTGACAGGTGACTGCAGTCACGATGCAGCAGCATGGTCCAACAAATATGGGCCTTTAAAGTCTATAATAGAGGAATATTTAATAAAGACGGACAGATGAAGATGTCAAAACAATGCAGACGGATAAATTCCTGCATGATGTCAGTGAAAATAAAAAACACCCACCACAGCTCTCAGACCAACAAAAAACCTCATAATAAATAAATGGTTTTCCTGCCAAGGGTCTAATGAAATAAACAGAAGAGGTGGGACCGCAGCTGAAAACAGTCAAGGGTGCTTGAAATGGTTTTAATGGAGATTGCACATCTATACACTCTGTACCAGACAGAGGCAGGGCTGTCTAAGCTGCAAACAGAAACTGTAAGCAAGATAAATCTGCAGCAGCTCTTAACACATTTCCTGAGAAGACAACATGACGCATAGTTTATTGAAGATGTACAGCAGCCTCTGTGCAAACACAAAATCTTAATAAAATTCACTGTTTTATGTTTATGAGCTTATACTAGAGTAAAAACTAACATTAAAAATGTATGACACACTGTTCAAGCCACTAAAGTGATGCCATAAAGTTTGACAACTCTTTATAAGATGTCATTAATATCAGAGAGCCCATAACTTTGACTCCCTCAGTCCTCTTTAGATAATCATTTATCTTACAGATTCCCTCCAGACATGATTAAATCAAAGGACAAAGAAGGCTTTTATTTCATAAATGTTAAGAAAATTAGCTGTAAAAAATAAGGCCCAACCGATAAGGGATTTTTGGGGTCAATACCGATATGAATTTAGGGGAGAAAAAAAAATGATAGCATTAAATCGGCCGATAACTTTCTTAGATCCAAGTTTGATCTTTAGTGATATGGATATAAATGTATTGTGTTTATCCCTCAAATGCAGTTATGATACACTTGGAAAGATACTGATACTGATGCTTTTAAATTGTGAAATTAGTAGTTTGTTGGAAAATGTCGACAAAATTATTATTTTTGCGTCTGAAATGTAGTGTTGTAAAGACTAAGTTGCATAAAATAGAATTATTCAGTTAAAGTAAGAGTACCTCAATCTGTACTAAACACTTCAGTTTAAACTTCAGAGACATACAAAGTTATTCTGTTATTTATACTTTGAGACTGATAAGATTGAAGAAAAATGATTGTGACTTCATGAACTATCTTGAAACATATCACAATCCAGCTCTGTCCTTCATCACTGCCATGATCTTCAATGTTTGTGTCATGAAGATTTTTAGCAATATTCTTTAACTCATGCAGCTGCAATAAGAGAACATTTTAATCTCAGCAGCTAAATGTGAAAACAGTCTTCAAGCAGCACACTCTGCATATTCATCATTCCTTCATGTTAAAGGTCAAAACTATGTAATTATATATCAATATAATAGGATTACATAGGGGAGCTCGCCCGGTCCACTGTGTATAGCATTATCATAATTATGCATTTTCAGCAACACTAGCAGTGTGGCTCTGGGGACAACAACATCAGGGTGTGTTTTCATAACTGAAGTGCAGTTAATCAATTCTACAAATAGATATTCATGACACTATTCAACGACAGTCATGAACCTCTGGGGATTATCCCAATGATGGTCCATCATTTAGAATCTGCTTTCAGCAACGGGTCAAAATGTACACCTAGAAAAGAAACATAAAAAACCTAGTGGACCTACGTTGAGTTTGATTGTCAGGGTTACATATAAGCATTAGCTTACTTAAAACACAAGATTTATTTCGATGAGAGAAATGTGTGTTAGAGGAAGTATTAACAAACTCATATACAGCAGTGTCTCGTCTCAGTTAAAACGTATGAATGAATCAATAATAGAATAATGAAACATCCCTCGGCATATAAAATGGCATACGCTTAAAGCTCTATATATTTCATGTCACACAGCTCAACATTTAATGTAAGGAATCCTGACATACACTTAAGGAGGAACGGGTACTGAAGGAAATATCAAAGCTGTTTAATGACAAAACTGACATAAGGAGGACCCCACACTGCCCCCCACCCCACCATGTCCAGGGGGGACAGCATAGGGTTGCATGCCCCCCTTCCCCCGAAATCTAAATTTGCCAACCCCAAATCCAGCACTGTGTTTTTAGACTTCAGCTGTAACAGGATGCGAGAAGCTTTTAAGGACTTAGACAAAGTGAAGCCTAGCCTCCAGACAAGCAGGTAAAACGTGCCCATCAGTCAGACAAATCCTTTTTACTTTAACATAACCAGAACTGTGGAGTTATAATAATGATCATGTTAAAATCTAATGATTTCATTTGTAATGTACTCACAGAAAACCGTTTTCATTGTTTCGTCCTGTAAATGACTTGGAGACTGGCAGATATGTTTCCACTTCTCACCTCTCAGTGAAATATGTAAAATCTTCTGACATCAGAAACGCTCTGTGACAAGATGAGCTGAGAAATATTCAGCTTCCTGGTCTCATTTTCAGCCTCCAAACTTCTGATAATGACTACAGAGATCATGAATTGGGATGCATTTTACTATGGCCGATTATTATTCATCAACAACGACCTCGTCTTTTTCATGGATGCGTTTGATTGGACTGTATGGTCCACGAGTCTTGCTTGTCACGACACTCACACACGAGTCATCCTCAGCTTCACATGTTCAAAGGTAGGCTACATATATGCATGCACACACGTCTCTTCAGCTAGCTGGGAGTGTGTATGATTTAAGGAAATGGATGAGTCACAAATATTGATTGGACTCGACACACGTCAAACTTTAAAAGTAATCTAGTGCAGCAGCTTGTCTATCCTTTACCTGACAAACTGGTACCTGCATTTCACGCTTTGATGTCTTCAGGGAGGTGTTATGGAACAATTTGTTCTTGTACACAGCCATCAGTCTGTTGGTCACTGGAAAATCAAACAAAGTAAAAATATTTCTTACGGTCAACAACGACCACTGAAAGAAATCTACCTGCTGGTTTTAACTCATTTCTGCTGTACCAGGACAAAAACATTTAATTCCAGAGAAATTGAATTCAAGGGGAAAAATAGATAAATATGTAATTACTATGGCTCCTGCTTTATTTGAGGCCCCTCCTCAAAATGAGAAACTTTACATATCTGTCACTGACATAGTGTGTCTGCAGCAACAGTAAAAAAAAGTCACAGATGATTTAAAGCCTTTGCAAGCCTTCTCTGGCAGCGGTTGTTCCTCATGTGCTCTTTCTGTATAGTTTTTCTGAGGGGATCTCAGGAACAGGCAATCTTCACACTGAGAGGCTTCTTCCCACATGCATTTCTATTGATTGAACTGCAGTGTGGAGAGAAAACTCTGACAAATTGTCTGCTCAGTCCGTCTCAGTACATTGTTATCGTGGGGAGAATAACACACAGTGAGATATGATGTGGTTGCAGCCTGCAGACCTTGCAAGTATAGCACAAAAATAACAGAACAGAGGTTCAATGTACTGTATGACGTGCTTCATTTGAACCTGCAGCAGGTTTTGCATGGTCTGGATGTGGTTAAACCCAGCGGCCTTAAAGAGAAAGAGAAAAAAAAGACGAGCTGTCAGCTGAAATCCTTGGATTTGAAAATTTACCATTTAGCCTTGGAGGGATGAAATATGGGAATATTTGATCATATCCTCGAGGAAGTAGTTGTAACCTTCAATCTACCAGAAATACATTTTCTTTCAAAGTAAAAGCAGGTGTGCACTCAACTGGAGATAAAATAATCTCATTTTAAGACAGTACAGAAATTCAAATGAAAGCACCTCGTAGCACAGGGCGCTTTGGTAATATCTTGATTTAGAAACTGCAGATAAAGTTCCAAACTTCCATTAGTTTAAGATTTAAAAGGTGATGCAGATTTACAAGCAATATAAAGACACCCACGCACAGATGAACTTTACGTCAGATCAGTGAAGATAACAGATTGCTCAAAGGCTCAGCTGTCTTAAGCTGCTTACAGCCCATTAGGATTATTATGTCCAAAGTGTTCATAAACATAGTCACTCCCAACCCCCTTTTTATGATGTGTGAGTTTGTTGTTGTTGCTAAGTGAGAGGCGTTGATTTAAGAAAAAGGTGATAATCCAACACAGGTACAAACAAGGTACAATTACCCTGGTTTACAGCAGAATACATTACAAAGACTATGTGATACAAAATCACTACCAGTATGAAGTGTTTCAGCTTTAAGTGAGATGATAGGATATCATGTGGTAGTGTTTGACAAAATATAGAATTTAGCTCTGTCTGCTCTAGAATTGTATGTTCTTTGTGACTACTGTAAACATCCAAAAGTCACCATATTGAGCTCAGGTGTTTTAGCAAAAAACATGGCTTCAAGATAAAAAAAACATGGGCATGAAATCTTCAACAACAAACAATACGGCTGAAAAGTAGTTGTAGGCTCACACACAAAAAATATTCCGTTATTGAAATGTATGCCCTTCTACATGTGCTCAGGTGAACTGTAAGTGCTAGTAGTGTGAAGTGGATGTTCTTGGAGCAGCATCAGCTCAGCCTCAAAGTGATAATCAAAAAAATGTAATTAATAATTGACGATTATTAATTTCATTACCCACAACAGAGTGCCAAATTGCCTTTAAAGATAATATCAGCACAGCAACTGTGCTCTGAGAACTTCCTGAAAAATGCCAAGCAGCTCAAAGAAAGTCAGGGGTGATCATGTGCTTCGCCAAGTGTTGGCTGGAAGAAAAGTATTCCGTGCAACTACTTTACTCTGAAGCAGTCAAAACTTGAAGTTGGAGTGACGGATCAGACACCATTATCCTGCAGTCTGATGGATGGTGCAGGGTTTGGTGGATGCCAGGTGAATGCCAACCAAGGTGCTTAGTCTCCTATAATATTTGTTGGAGAAGGAGCCATTTTTAGAGTTCTTGACAGGCACCTTGTTTCTAGAGTAGGGTCTCCTTAATGCTACACGAGCCAAGACAATTTATCAAATTCAGCTGTTCCAACTTTGTAGCAACATTTCGAGAAAGTACCTTTGCCATACCAATATGACTCTGTACCACTATGCGAAAAGTTCTTGAGTTAAAGGTGTACTGTGAGGACTTTTTAGCTGGTTATGGACAAACTGAAATTAATACTGATGCCTCTATATGACCCACAGAAACAGACAAGTCCATCAGTAGGAAGATCAATTTATAAATCTAACAAAGAGATTCACAACATGCTGCTTAAAGAGCTTTTGTGTTCAGTTAACCATGGCAAAGTTTCACAATGAGTAACGCACAAGAAAGTTCAAAGGAAGCAGGATCATGTCTAAACTACACAGGAGTTCAGCAAAAAATATGAGATGTACTGTTCTGTCAGCAGGGGCCGCCAAAATCAACAAAATTAAAGTGCCTCATATAGTTGCTTTAATGAACTCGATTGGCCTACACAGAGTACAACATCAGTTTCTGACCTCCCTTGTGATTTACGCGTTTTTTGGTTTAATATGTACAAGTAAAATTCCCAAAAAAATACTCCAATCTTATGGTACGCATTCCCAGATGAGTGGGATACCTATTTGGTGTTGTATATTGAAACAGTACACCATTAAGTACACAATGCTGCTATGCCCCCATTTATCAGGAAGCATTGTGAACATCAGCTACATCTCTGGCTCTGCTGCTTCTCTTTGGTCTTATAATCTGGACGTTATACATACAACTGATTATCAACCTCAGCCAAAACTCTCTTTAAAATATCCTCATTCATACCATCCTCTGCACTCTCATTTTGTAATGCCATATTTCATATATTTGTTTATAGCATAGATTTAAACCACTTTGTAATTCGAGCAAGGGAAGAGATTTGATTGCCATGATGCTAAATGAAAACAGCCAAAGGTGACAGAAAAAGGTCAAATGTTTGTCGTCACAGATATGACCTTTGACTCATCAACTGAGAGAGACGCTGGGGTAGTTTACTAACAGCACGCTTAAAGGGCCAAAACTGCACATGCAATTAATGCGTAATGCAAAAAAAGTAATGCATTGCTATTTACACATTATAAACACTGGTGGCCCTAAATTTTGCACATTTTCATGAACATATACATACAATGGATTTTGCAGCAAGGTATTGCTCCCCCAAACTACTACAGGTGCCTTTCATACTTTATACCTAGCTTAGGGGAGACAAGTAGGAAATCAACATAACATATAAATCCATACAATCCTACATTTGCTTTTGCTTATTTTCATTTTTTTTTTCTCCAATAAGTTATTATATGCTTCAGTATAGCAGCAGGCTAAGCAACATCAGCACCAATCCCCAGCTCTTCCTGGGAGATCCTGAGGCGTTCCCACGCCAGATGCTGTATGTTATTCTCCCAGCGTATTCTAGGTCTACCCTGGGGGTGTCTTACAAGTGAGTCGTGACCAGAAAACCTCCAGGTACCCAGAAGGAATCCAGATCAGATGCCCAATCAACCTTTATTTTAGCTTCTTATGATGCGGAGGAGCAGCTGCTCTGTACTCAGACTGCTCCCTTCAGATATGTGAACTTCAAACCCAAACTACCCTTTCAAATGAGTGTAGTCCAATACAAAAGTCCTGCAGTTATACTTCCTTCATGAAGGTTAACACATTCACCTTTTAACCAAACTGTTTTACAGAGGTGTGGATTCAACTTAATGGTCACTGTGGAGCCCTGGAGGTTGTGTTGCTGCTGACTCATCATTAGGATGATGTGTTTCTAATATCTAGATGACCATGATTTATGTAAATGGTTCAAGATCATAATAACAAACACATATTAGCTTTATAAAGGAAGGATTAATTGCAGGGCTGTTTTATGAGACTGCATTCATTTAACGTTAATCATTCCCAAGCAGCTACTGTCACTGTGTGTACTATCTAGTGAGTTGACATGATGAATATGAAGTTAGGAAACTAAGATGACGCAATCTCAGCAGCATGAACAAAGACTAACAGGAGAATAGTACGTCATAGAAAGCAGTTACATAACTCATTGCTGTGAGTTTTAATGTTACTATTCTATTGTTTGTGTTAACCACCGACTCTCTGTTTAAGAAAATCATTGCTTTTCCCATAGAGCCAGTAATACAAATGAATAACTACTGTAAGTCTAAAACACTTATTTCTACCTCCCATTAGCCTAATTAAAACCTTAACGTCTGCAGGAGACACAAGCATGAGAACTGTGCCAACGGAAGCCGACCAAAAAACTGCAGAGGTAACCACTAAAAAAGCAATGCTGCAAATGTGCATAGTTAGCATAAAGAAGACGCCAGAACAACCACAAGCAGGTTTAAAAAAAGAAAGCAAAAGTAGCACACAAAAACAATGACAGAACTCAGCGAAAACACAGTAACCTCTTACCAGAACTTATTGGTTAGAAGATATGACTCAGCAGTTCAAGCTAGCTAAGTAGCTTCCCGGTTGAAGTGAAGCTAGTAGCAATCAAAGCTACAAGTTGTGACACAAACTGGAATATTTCATCTGCAATGTCCTCTACAGGCTGCTTTTAGCAAAGTAGTTTGTTAACAGGAAGCATACAAGCATTAAACAGGGCATGTTTGTATCAGTGTTAAATTGTGAAATCAGTGGCAAATTTTGCAAACTAGCAGCCATGCTACAACACAGCAGGAGAGCAAAGGGGTTGAACACAGAAGCTTTATATAGGCCGGCTCATTGCAGAGGGAGCGCTTGATTTATGTTTCAATAAGAACAGAGGAAGGAGACAGAGAATAATTGCGTGACATTTTTTTATAATTATCATTTTTATTAATCCCGCGAGGGGAAATTCAGTTTTACACTCTGTTTAATGAAAATGAACACATAGATAGGCCGAAATAATTTAGCCACATATTGCAGTTCAGTACTGGGAAACACACCTTTCTTTTACAAGACACATGCTGTACTATACTGTGCGGTTATTACAGATGACTTCACAGAAGATGTTGTATGTGTTTTGTTTTGTGACTTTAATTTTTGTCTTTTTTTTAGAGCTCTACTTCTCATTTATCCAGGCAAAGTGGCCTTACCATGCTTGTTCCTTTTCATCAGCTTATTTTTGTTCAGGACAAAACAATTTGAACAAGGGTTAGCATCTTTAGTATAGTATTAGGAAAGTGGCCATCAGAATTAACTAATAAATTCATAGATATTCACACGCCACTGACAGAGCAGCGTGAGCCACTTGGGGTTAAGTGAGTCGCCCAAAGACACATCAGACATGTGGCTGCAGGAGCTGGGGAACTCCTAACGATCTGGTTGAAAGACGAACAACTCTACCTCTGAACCACAGCTGTAAACAAACTTAACAGATTTATCTGTTAAGTTTGTTTTTAACTTAACTTAAACTTAACAGATTTATCTGTTAAGTTTGTTTTATCTGTTTTGGTTCATTTATCGGGCAAAATTATATAAATATATTTGTTTCAATGTGAAGTTTAAGTTTATTGTTGATCTTTTTTAAACTCTTGGACAAAAGAGAATGTGCTCATAAATAAATGTAACGGTGAAATTAATGATTAATCAACATCGGCTAAAGTACCGTAAGTACAGATTCAGCATATTCAGCTGTTTGCAGTTCATGAGAGCTACACTTTCAACATTATAAAGACCGTACAACTTTGTGTGGACATAACAATCCCTATGAATCACATTCATTTGATATTTATGCTTTACTGAAACATTTGAAAGACATTTGCTCTTTGTTGACACGCTTTGGGGAATCTGGAGGTGCCCTCAGAAACTGTCAGCCTTTTTTATGTGTTCATACATCCCTGTTGTATTTTTGTGTCCTATGAATTACAGGGGGTTTATATGTTGACCAATGGCATGTGCTTTTTTCGTTGTGTTTGATCTCAGGACACAATGCTGGAGCTGCTGTGTGATGCGGTGGCGTCTTCAATACGGCAGGGGAAAGGTCTGGTGATTAGCGGCTTCCCCAGAGACCTGAGTCGCGCAGATGAGTACGAGGCCAAGGTCAGAGCAACTAACAGCCGACATGTGTCCACACAAAAATATTCAAAAGCAAAGTGAAGGGATAAAGCAGAAACATAAACAACTTTTAAAAAGTGTTTGTCATGAAGTATTGACATCGATGTGGGAAAGATTTCTCAAACATGACTGACTGTTAATGCAGGAGTGTAAAAACTGGAGTGATTGTAACAGATAAACTCACAAAGATAAGACAAAAAGCAAAGTGACACAAACTACAATATAAGATGTAGCTTCACTGATATCAGCTGGACCTGTTCCTTGTGTGTCAGATGGGAGAGCCCAGTGCAGTCCTCCTGCTGAGCTGCTCTGCAGACACCATGTTGAGCCGTGTGCAGTGCCGCCGATCCTCCTCCAGCTTCCAGCCGGCCACAGACCAAGACGAAACGCTGCACAGGAGAGCTGAGAGCTTCTGCAGCGATAGCCAGGATGTGGCAGCTCTCTATGAACGCAAGAAGCTTCTGCACATGGTATGCTTGTTTTATTAGTAAGAAACTGTTCTTAGGTTTGTTTGTTTTTTCCTTCATAGCTGGATCAAACTATCTCTACCAGAGTTAATTCCTACTGTTAACCTCAGGATTAATAATCTATCTTTCTATCTGAGTTAGCTTTTAACTATCCACCTTATCTCTTTATTAAATTAAAATTCTATCTCATTTATTAATACAGATGAAAATTAAGCTTTTCAATCTCTTATTATCTCTTATTGTGAGAACTGCTGCACATGTACATAGGCTGAAAAGCACATACAGGACCTACAGAAATGCATTTATGCATAGATGTCAGAGTGAGGGGGCTACACAGGGACTGTCACTACAAGCTGCAGTGCCTTGCTCAGGGGCATTTTGGCAGTGCTCAGGAGGTAAACTGGCACATCTCCAGTAAACAGTCCAAAATAAGACTTTTTCCTTACCAGGAATTAGACTGGGCACTCACTAGTTTCAAACCAAAGTCCCTACAGCTCCTCCAAGCAGCCAACAATGATATTAAAAGTCCCTTAGGAATAAATTCTCTTTAAAAAGTATGTCTACTAGGGATGCACCAATGTATCGCTTAAACATCGGTATCTGCCGTTATCGACCCTGTTGACAGACATCGGCATATCAGAAAATAATGTGGCATGCAACAAAGTCAGTAGCCGTTGTTTGTCTGTTGTGTTGAAACAAATGCTGATGAGCTAGCTGCTGATTCAGAGAGGAGTTTTTTAAGGGGCAGAAGAAGTTTTTCAGGTGAAGTTTGAAAGAAATTGTCAGCAGTGAGGGAGTTCAAGGTCTCTGCAGGACCAGTTTTGTTAGACTTAATCCAATGACATTTTTTGAAAACAATTTAAATAAGTTCAATCACACAGTTTGTTTGGAAAACAGACACAAAGAATTACAAATGTGAAATGAGAAAAAACATTGGTAACAGATTTGGAAATTGGCTAGATTGTTATTTTATGCGTTTTTGCTATCAGCCCTGATTTTGATCAGTGCAGCTCAAGAAATGTTTTTCTCTAATCAAACATCTGAAACAAAAGTATCCTACATTGAGCTCGTTATGTCTCGGATTTTTGTGACTACAATGTTTTGGGAAAATGTCTCTAATTGTGTGCGTAGGTGATGAGATCATTAGTCAAAGTGTGGATTATGTGATGGACTCTAGGGTGACATAGAACAAATATTTGGATGGACGACATTTTCATCAGGTTTAATGAGTTTATTTCACATTGATTATTTGTCAAAGGCATTCTCTCTCGTTTGCTGTTTGGATGATTGCTGTAATGTTTGACATGTTGCTGAAACACACCAGATATGAAACGATTTCCATTTTTAAACATTAAATTATTCAGTGGCTCGTTTTTAGTTCATTAATTTTCTACCCTTCGGTATGATACAAATTAATGTAAATAAATGAGGCATATGATAGCTAACAGGCTTTAAGACGAAGGTGTTGAACTAAAATAACCATACTGAAACAGGTACAGTGTTTCAAAATAAAATATTCTTTTGATTATTTTTGAGCAGTTGCAGGATGTTGTTCAAACCTGAGCGATGTGTTCAGTGGTCACTTCTGCTTCTCCACTAACAAGAGCAGGAGATAATCACAGAGTATATGTTTAGGGGTGAACTGTCCCTTTAAAATGAGCCCTTTTAACATTTAAATATCACATCAGGTTTTCAATGTGCATGCATGCTTAAATGCCAGAACAGGTAGGGAGATCATCAGTCTGCTGTGCGATCACAGAGGTTACACTGCAGCAGACAGCTGTCCTCCCTCGATCGATGACCCTCAGAATGTAAAAGAAATGATCTAACCCGGTTTGTCTCTCTGATCAGATTGATGCAGAGAGGTCGCCAGATGAAGTGTTCTCCCAGATCTGCCAGGCGATGGAGACCTTCTGATTTCTACCACTACGTCTCGCCCTCCAGCCCCAAATCTCTGCTGTCCTGGAGCTCCACCTGTGAAGATCTCTCTCTCTCTCTCTCTGCAAGGAGACTCACTCACCTCACACCTGCACCACATACACGCTCATTGAACTCCAGTGGTCTGCATGCCCCCCCAAAACACCTAGCAAGTCGGTGAAACTTCTTCCTGCTTTAAACACTGATGAAGCGCCTGGTTGTCACATCCTGCTACACCCACTTGCATCATCTCTGTCTCTAACATGGATCTCGATATATGCTGCCAACTGCCCTGCCGAGGCGGATCACTTTACTGAGAAACATGGCATTCCTGCTGTGACTGAGAGCATGCTTTCTGGTCGAGAATGTGAAACCGGAGAGAGAGAGCGGTTCCCGCCATGCAGGAAAGTGGAAATGTCAGTGTATGTGCTCATGCTCTCATGCACAGTGTTGTGTTTTATATTGTGACAAGCATGCAAGAATTACAATCAAAGCTTAACTGCCTTTTGTGCATTGAATTAAAAAAAAAAAAAAGCAGAAAAAGATTCAAGAGTGTTCAAGAATATCGCATTTGTATGTTTCCAAAGCTCATCGTACAGGTGCTTGTTTTGAGTCTGGTATTTAACATTCAATAAAGCCAGTGCATTTGCTAAAAGGAGGAGTTCTGAGTTTGTGCTTCAGTGTCTGTTTGAGGGCTGTGTATGAATATTATTCTTTATCTTATAGCGCCATCTGCTGGTGAGATGACTGCAACAAAAGTTTGCTCTTATGAAAAATAACCAACTGATAAATATGGGGTTAGGATCCTGTTTGAAATGCATGTAAATATAGTTTGTAGGTTTACCTTTAAGCAGATATAAAGCAGCAAACTGACCTTTAACTGCAGCACTCAATGTGTCTGAAAGTATTTGACAAGAGCACCAAAGGTCACAAGTAGGAGGAAGAAATGTATGGGCTTAAAAACAAACCAGGCATGCTTAACACTTTCACCTGGAGGTTTTTCAACTGCATCTTATTCTGTAAAATAATCTACTCATTAATATCTGAAAAAAACAAGCATTCTTTCATTCCCTTGAGAGGGTAGAAGTGCTACACGCTAAAAAAAAAAAAAGCTACACAAGGCCTACACAGACAAGTATCCTACCTATACATTTTATTAACTCCGTTTTCCCGTCATATGGAGTATTCTCAAAAGCTCTCAATTTACTATTCTCGTGTCCCCCAGAGTTTAAAGAGCGCCACACAAACATAGAAATAGGATTAACTTGTGTTGCCAGTGTGGGTAACAGCAGCATGATGTCTTACAGCTCAACCTGCACAGCTGTTTACTTTAGCACAGAATACAGAGATGATAATGATCTGTTCAACAACAGAAAATTAATCACCATCAACTCTGATTTTTCAGTGAAATGTCAAATGAAAATTTTAAGAACTAAACTTCTGTATGTTGCTTTTGGGTTTCATATCATCGTGTCAAATGAGCTTCTTTGGATTTGGACATGAACGTGGTGCATCAAGTTCGTTTCTCCGAGTTTGCACATATAGCAAACATTTAAAGTAAAATAATCAGATGGAGATCTAGTGCATGGATCTTAAATATTCTAAATGAAAATAATAATTGAAGATTAAAACTCTGATCAGTCAGCAGTGAGATTCTGGTGTGCAAAATGTGTTTACCCACAGCTGCTAGGTGTTTATCTACTTCCACTTGTAATTATTTAAATGTGTTTTGGTTGAAAGAAATAGAGAAGCACAATCATTACATAAAAGGTAGATAAACCAAACATGTCCATCTAATGTTTGTGATCCAGACAAGTCAAGTCATAGCGTAATCTTTTGAATGTTTCAGCTCTAAATTGTTAAAGATACTTATCTCACTTGTTCATCCTGAATAATACTACAGGAACCACAGGTGTAGAAACACTATTTTCACATACTTTTATTTCCACGGTTCTCCTCTAGCATTTTTTTTTTTTTACATTATTATTTTTTTTTACATAAGAACAGACTTATACACAGATATTGAAGCAGGGCAAGGGGGGTGAGGGAAGGAGACGAAAACCATACAAAATGGTGTCTACTCAAGCACAACAAAATCTATGTGTATAAAATTGTTTGGGTTGTTCCACTGTGGAGGCACCAACCTCTACCTCAATTCTTTTTTTTTTTTAAATAGATTAATAAAAATACAATCTTTTAAATGGGACCTTTTTAAAGTGAACTGCAAAATTAAAGATCTAGAGGCATGACGACTTGGTGGTGGGATATGTGGGTCGAGGAGGGGTCGTGGCCACGTTCAAAGGTTGATGTCAACCCGCCTGGGGGAAAAAAAAAAAGATCTTTTAAAAATGGCACACAGCAACTAGCGCTGGCTACTTTTCACCATATACTTTTACACTCAACATGATCAACAACGGCACACATCAGGGGGAGGAAAAAAAAACAAAACAAAAAAACAGTCATGTACTTTTTCCCCCCCATACGTTCCCATTCGCCTCGTAGTCTGCCTTCAAAAACATTTGCTCTCCGTGCTGTAGTGCTTTTTGTTAGACGTGTTTTAGTGGAGAGAGCAAAGGGAAAGGAAACACAGATGAAGGTGTGTGAAAGGTGAGGTGTTAGAGAGCAGCGATGTGTGACAGTGGTTGGGTTGGCTCCATGCTGAAACATGGCACGCTATCCGTTTAACACATATAGGACTGCAGAACGTCATACGGGTCAACAGGACTTCCTACAGTCTGCAGCCCGAAAACCAAACCGACCTCCATGTCAAGTCCCCACGCGCCAAACTTCCCCGCATTTGTCACAACTTCTGCTGAGGAAGCTGTGACGCATAAATACTCAAACTACGGATACCTAGCTAGAACATTTTTCACTCTTGCATATCACCACACACACACACACAACACACACACACACACACACACACACACACACACACACACACACACACACACACACACACACACACACACACACACACACACACACACACACACACAACACACACACACACACACACACACACACACACACACACACACACACACACACAACACACACACACACACACACACACACACACACACACACACACACACACACACACACACACACACACACACACACACACACACACACACACACACACACACACACACACACACACACACACACACACACACACACACACACACACACACACACACACACACACACACACACACACACACACAGTTGATGACTTCACAGTCCAGTATGACCACACATCTCTGTTAGGTGGCGCTTCACCAGACTGGCTGTTAGGTCTCCAGTTCGAAGCAGCACAGGGAGGTCACTAGGGGATGAGGAGGAAGGGGAGGGGGAGCCCTGGTGGGGTCACAGAACTCGGGAATGTCGGTGTGCCTTCTGTTTAGTTTGTTTGTTTTTTAAAATAGTGTATCATTTCCAATCACAGATCCATTTATTGACCTGGCTGAGGTGGAGCAAGGCCCCCTTGTTCTGAGGAACCAACATGGCCCCGCCCTTTGCTTGAGTCAGGGAGGCCAATATAACAGCCCCTCCCACCAGCAGCACTGTGGTCTGCTCCGAGGCCCCCTGGCTGTCTGCCTGCCTGCTGGCCTTCCTGCCTGGCGGCGGGTTAAGCGGTTATCTTGGACTTGGAGGATGGAGCCATGCACAGAGTGGCCTGTGGGATATGTGGAGAGAGCCTGGAGCTAGAGGCGTCTGCGACTCTGTCATCTGTTGGCTGGAAAGTAGTTAGGGTCCAGGTAGTTGTAGCCTGTGCTCTGTGGCAGGCAGTAGTCTCTGTCTAGAAAGGTGTCAGGCTGGTGCACCGGTTCTAAATGATGATTCGGCTTGTGGGTCTCCGTCTTGAACAAGCTGGAAGAAGAGTAGGGAAATGTAAATCCATACTGCAGTAATACAAAATGAAGTCATTAATGCCAGAGAAAAAAAGAGCAAAGAAACACTTTTACATCATCAGAACATGAAAACTTTAATGAGGATCCAAACTGATCAGTACTGCATAAAAACCCTAGCCTTACTCTACATTTAATCCACCTCTGCCTGCCTTTGTTGTAAACTCATTTACCACAGCAGGTGGTCTCTATGTGAATAAAAATGAGTGTGTGTGGAAAAAAGATTTGAGTTTGACAAACTCATAAATTTCCAGGTGACAGAATTAAAACATGAGCTAAACCTCTGTTTCATAAAACATCTGAGATATCTTTTTTTGGTCTTTATAGCAAGCAGCAGCAAACTAAATATTCAGGTTATAATTTGCAGCCTGTGTGAAGCGTTGCTTTCCTGTTACAATGATAAATGTCAGTGGCAGTTGGTCATACGAGCTGTCACAGCTGAACTTCACATAATTTAACAAAGACCTTCAGTGTTTAGATCACATTCAACAAATCTAGATGTGTTTATGTTCCAGATACATATTTAATCAAAAGGAAGGTAACACAAGAATCAGTCTGGATGCTTTCAATACATTCAACGTATCCAAAGGATTCTGATAATGATCTGGGCCAATGGAACTTAATCGGGAAATAATACCGTAATAATACGTTTTCAGGAAAATCTATTAAATATTGTTTGAGGTTATTACCACAAGACAGCACTGTATGCGTGCCTACATAGGATCGTTGTATTACTGGGCAGATAAAAGTTAATTACTCTATTTCCCCAAAAGTCCCCTAAGTGTCTTAAAGCAGTCATGTCATCACATCAACATATATACCATAATACCAAAAGATATCTCATTTCCATTTCCACATTCAAAAAAACTCCTGTGGTTGTATTGTTAAATGTCTTCTGGTAAACATCATCCAAAGTTGTTGTTTTTTAACATTTTGACTCTGACGACAGAGATAAGGGAACTCACCAGTCCGAGCAGTTGGAGCAAAAATCGACCGAGTTGTCTTGCGGACAATCCTGACAGTGCCACCGCACTCCCTGGATGGGATCCATGCCACAGACGTCACACTGCACAAAACACCAGACAGCATGTCTTCAGAACACAGTTACTGAACACTATTTAACTATACAATGTTGGTTCCTCCTGGGATGATATTACTCTAAAAGTGTTACATTTAGAAGCATAGTTTTAAAGGAAGAATGTGCTATATTTTACATGTAAATACAGCAGAAATCCAGAATATCCTCTGTAATTGTCTCTCTGAGTCATGACTGTCTACAATGAGTGAGAAGGGTGAGTCTCGCCAGCTGTGTTGTTGTCAGAGCCGTGTTTACATCATGTTTACATGGACGGGACAATGCCTTGTGTATAAAGCTGTTTTAGTCAAGGACTAGAGGAAAGAAGTATAACATAACCTACTCACTACTCATTTCACGTAAGTGTCTTCAGATCACGGTCATTCAGTGCCAATGTATGCTCAATATGAAGCTATGAGTTAACAGAGTGTGCTAACATTAGCCTGCTAACACAACAATGCAGACCACAGGCAATTGCAGCTTGAGCCATTGCACTTTATGGTGCTTAATAATGATGTGTCTAATTTATAATTCCTTCATGCAACTCGAGTGGAGAGGTGTTGGAGGTGTGCCGCTAGAGGAGAACGGAGGTGTCGCCCAAAACAGCAGTTTTTTTTGGTTTAATGCTCAAGGGCGACATCTACTGGATCAAAAAGTGGGTTAAGTCTTCACCTTGTAGCCTACATGCCGCACACTGGCCTTGTCCTCGTGGATCTCATGCAGGGTCTGTTTTTTTAGTCGCTTCAGCTCTAATAGTTCTTTGTACTCTGGCAAATTTCTCAACTCCAGAGGAATCCCCTCCTCGTCCTGGGAAAGGACAAAAAACACAAATGGAAACATTAAGAAAAAGACAGAGGGGAGATGACTGACCGGCATAAGGACATGCTCAGACAAAACATCTCATCATGACTCCATGAATATCACCGGAAAATGATAATCCCTTGATGTTTGCTGCCTATATTTATCAACCTAATTTTATCTGACCAAATAAAAAAATATACAAAAACAACAATTATGCTTTTCTTCAGTTATTCTTCATACAGAACCCTTTATGTCAGTAAGCTGAATTGTATTTAGAAGAACATCCAGGCTGAAAACCATTATATCATGCACATCCAGTTAAAATTATAGCTAATTATAGCTTTTCTTTTTTGGGTTAACACAACAAGTCTTGATTTCTACAGTGTGAAACTTGGGAGTGGCGAAGAGTTCAGGTGTTTCAGATTTCAATCAGCAAAGAGCAAACATGCAAAAAAGAAAAAGCTTTCTTCAATCAGAGTCCTTAAAAGACCAGTTTAGCATGTCTTTCTTTACATTGAGGCTGGGGAGCCAATGCTTTGTCTTAAAATGTATTTAGTAGAGACAGAGATGCTCTGATTGAAAGATTTGTGTCGTGTTATAAATAATCAAAACGGGTCAGAAAATGTGTTGAGTTTATGTTGGTGATACTAACGAGTCTAAAAAAAGCCTGAACAGTCGAGCAGTGAGACGTTGTCATAAAGTTGGTTTGGTTTATCATGGCAACAAAGCCCATTATATAACATAACTTCAGATAAATTAAACAACTGTGTTAACTGTATATCTTTAAATGTTACAGTTATGACTGAAAATTACAAAGCTCATCACTAATATTTCTTAACCTGGAAGGGACAGTTTTGAATGATGTGATGTCTTGGCCAACCTCCACGTTCACGAGACATGTTTGCCCTCAGTGAACTTGTATTCCTTCTCCTCAACATGGCCAGAGTAAGGGACAGCCTGGTGAAGTGTGAAATGATTGTGGCCCATGCTGGCAACACCTTTGCGACTTTTCTTCATATCGGTGGTGTCAGGGGTTTTTATTAACGCTCTGGTGGAGTCAGCAGCCTGTGTTCTCAGCAGGGCATGGCGACCTGGTTACATTTAAAGGTTAGGGCCATCAAAGGGAAAAAATAAAATGTCAGCTCTTGGATAATGGAGAGCACAAGGAACAGGGTAATTCAAATAAGGGTGAGGCTGGCCTGGCATTATGCACTGATTTAGCCGTGTGTACCGTATAACACGGTACACACAGCTGTGATTGTACTGAAAAATAGAAAGAAAGACACATGGTACAGATGTGCATGTTCAAGGGACTTATTTCATCCAGAAACGTTTAAATGGCGTGAAGAGGGAAGGAGGCAGCATGTCATGCGAAAGCGACAAGATGCAGTGGCTTACTTAACCTGATCTGAATCTGAGTCTGATTTAAAAAAGATTCATCAGGTGTTAAACACACTCTTGATGGCACATAACATGAAGGTTGTCCCTGTCTTTATCTTACAGGTCACTGCTTACATGAGGAGATGAGGCATGACTGTGGACGGTGACAGAAAAAAGTAAATGTGAACTTTTGATTATCCTAATGAAGCAAACCAGCACCACGGTCTCCTCCGCGATCAGTGACATTTAAGTCAGTGAAATAGGATCCCTTCTTCAGTAATTCACCAGGACAAAGAAACAGGAGTTAGATGTGTGCTAAAAGAAGCATGCAAAAAATTAAAGAGAGAGTCGCCCACTGGTAGGCAAGTGGTTAGTTCTTGTACCCTGTGTACAGAGGCTATAGTCCTCAAAGTGGGCGAGCCCGGGTTTGAATCCAACCTGTGCGGCTTCTTTCCAGCATGTCATTCCCTCCCCTCAAATTCTATCCACCTTATTGTCTCTATAACAAAGGCATAGAAAGCCCCAAAATAAATCTTGAAGTAATAAATGAAGAGAATGCAGGGTTCTGTGATGTATCAGAGGACTGACCGAGTCATCTGCAGAGGGGTCCTGCATGCTGCTGAAATACGCAGCGCGTTCATCGTCATCGTCCATATAGACCGGAGGCTCATAGGAGGTCAGGAAGGTAGACGGCCGGTACAGGTGCTTATTGAGGTGATGCTGCCTCTTGCTGGATGCCTGAGGTAAAACAAGAACATTAGGACTACTGTGGAGGTCTATGTCTGTGAAGCCTACGTTAACAGAACCTAAGCAAGACGTTTAAATATGTTACATTATGGCATATTATATTTTATGAGATGTTCAGTGAATGTTGCAACCTTTAAAATATCACAACAAATGCATTCAATGTACAGGCAAAATACAAGATAATTACAGAAATGACCACTTATTACTTACTGATACGCATGTGACTCAGTATCATTAAAGGGTTTTTTAAATACCTTTTTAGTGTACATGCACAGGTTGGGTGTTCTTCCAGGCACAGGGATACCAGCTTTAGTCAGTTTGATGAAGTACTTCTGAACCCTACTGGCAACCTGGAATGTTTTAACAGGAAAATGTCTGCGTTAATGATTTCCAACAGAGGAACAGATGCTTGAAGTAATTGAGGTCATGCAAATGTATCCAGCATCCAGGTACTTAAAGGGGGCACAGTTATCACACAAGTCAGACTTTGCCTTTCAGCTCTGCTAAGTGCTCGTACTACGTTCTCGCAATTTAACAGCCTGTTTCCATAGTGAGGACACAGATTCATCAATGTCAGGAGATGCTAACAGAAACACAGAGAAGACAGCGGTACAACCAGTTCAAAGACAAACTGTAATATGCAGTAGAGCTGGCAACATTGAATTTTTCAATTTTTTCATTTAAGCGAATTCTTTCTTCAAGCCAAATTACAAAATGTATTTGATGTTTGGATCATTTTCAATTATGCTAATAGACCAAATGTTCTGAATTTAGCAGGAAAAGGTGTAGATCAGACAAGCAAACACCCCTTTAGTTAACTCCCTCTCACCTGTTTTGCTGTCCGATTGCCCAGCTCATCTGCGATCTTTTGCCATCTTCTGGACTCCACTTCTTCAGGAGGAAACTTAACAAGAAGCTGCTCCAGTTTTTTCTATTAGAAACAACATTTTAAAAATTTTTTAATGGATTAATGGCAGTTTGCTACAATGGTACGATAAATCTCATTTACATCCCATCCATACATAATGATATTCAAAAACAGCCGATGAAACAGTTGGGTAGCACAAATTACACATTTTAGCTGCTCACAGAAAAACGTATAAATCAAGTCCTCTTTCAAAAATTCACAGTCAGAATCCTGTATATTTAAGACATTTCGTTGAAAACAGAAATACTCTAAAGGCAACATCATCCGTCTTTAATGTACACCACTGCTTAGAGTTACGTTGGTGAATGGCGTACTTCTGTAAAACAGAGTTTGAGATTTTACACACTCATAGCCTACCTGTTCCTCCACAGTCCACAGCTGGTTAAATGTGTCAGACTTGTTTGGGTGACAAATCCTCCCCCTGATCATCTGTCAGGAAAAACAAGAGTGACAGCCATGTTAAAAGAGTTGCACAAAACAAAAATAATAGGCACGCAACCATTTGAAGAGATCTGTGCATATGAACTGCCTGGCACAGTAAATCTGTCAGATTGACGGGCAAAGATGTGACTGGAGATGTGTCATGGGAAGACCCAGAAGAAGAAGAAAAAACACTCTTGACTGACAAACATGCTCCCATTAGAATTCAGGGAGTGTTATCTGTGAGAATGCAAATGTCTCTTCACAAAATAAACAGGGTGAGCAACAGGAATGATCAAGCAGTTGTTTGCTTGATGCTAAATGCTTGGCACAGTCTAATCCCAACAATCAATTAAAATTGAAGGGAAAGGGAGACGACAAACACAAACAGAAATAAACCATAATCAGAGGTAGACGAGACGCAGGCTCCTCACGTTTCCATAGATACCACCTGCATGCTTAACTCTGCTCTGAGCATCAGGGGGGAGGGGGGGGGCAGGGGGCAGAGCAGGCAATGTAACTTGGCAATTAGAGGCTACAGTTAGGACAACGTATGTGTAAGGTTCTGCTCTAATGATACGCTGGGAGATAATAAGGAGTTTTCCTAAGAACCAATTTATCTGTCAAATAGATGGAAATTTAAATTCAGACTGTTTCACTCGTCTAACGGTAAGAAAACAATGAGAAAACTGTAAATTGATCCGACACGGCTAAACGCTGCCCAAAAGCTTAATGCGTGTAGCCTGTTTAACTGCTATTTGAAACAGTTCATCACATTCTTTAATTTAATTCTGGGCAATACAACAATAACGATAATTATTGGCGATATAACTTTTCTCAATATAAATATGACGAATGTTCGATAAATGTTTGATACAATTGAACCTGTAATTACACCACCCAAACACTGGGAAAGAAAACAGCCAATCATGTCGCAGGGATACAGGTAGGCCAGTTTACAGACGTTTGGAGGGGAATCGAAACAAGGCCTAAATGAGAGATCGCAATGCCGGGCCTACCATCTCAAAGCAGGGAGAAAACATGGTCAACAAGAAAGGACACTGTACTTCAGGAGTTTGGAGATATTTAAGATATTAACATTCCAACAAAAAACAGAGAAAACTGTGATGAAGAGATGTGCAGCTAAAACAGTCAAAGCCACAAAACTTTTCCACCATTTGAAACAATATGAGCCGTTAGAACACACCAAAGGAAAGAAATGACCAGACGTCCCAAATGAGTGTTAGTGAATCCTCAGTAAGCACCGGGCCTGTTGTTACTCCCCAGCAACAAACTGTCATATCAGCGTTTTCCAGCTCCGTGCACTGAGCTTATGATACTGAAATGTTCCACTGTTGAAGTATAGTTTGTCATGTTCCGACAATAAAGAATAATTAAACCACAATTAACAAACTGGCTTCTTCAACTTTCACCCAGGAACAAGAAACTGCCTCTACATTCGTAAGAAAAAATTATTTGACATCTATCGTGATAGTTATTGATATCGACTCGATATAAAAAATTGTATCATGAACATTTTTTAGCCACAAAGGCCAGCCCTACTCATATCTATAGCAAAAACAATTGTATAAGTGAACAGTGCAGTGTTCAGTTTCTGAGTTTAGGTAAAGCCAGAGGAAAACGGTTGTTCCAATAAAGCCCCAACAACTGAATGTCACATGAATACAATGTACGTCAACAATTCACATACCCAGAGACAATCACAGCTGTAATGACAGCAGCAGCAGTTGTGTGTGTGCATACGTGTGTTTACAGATTATTTAGTAAGGAGGCAGCACTGTACCTGTGATTGCCTGCTGTTCTCTGGTGCATCACTCATGGGCAGAGAGGTGTACATGGTGGAAGACTCGCCTTCCTTCTTGGCTTCAACAGGACTTTTTGGTCGATCAGGCAAACCTGACGGGAGGCAATAAACAGAATTTGTAATTTCAGTGATCGTTCAGTAATAATATTAGCAAACCCATGTTCATGCATTGAGATTATACATACCTTGGTCAAAGATCAGCTGTAGCCGCCTAGTTTTGCGTTTCTTGTCACAGAACTCTCTCTCAAAGTCACCGAGGCCTGACGTGTACTGCTCCCACGCAACGTCAGGGAGCTGGACGACTCGCTGAGGACACGGCAAGCCCAAACTCACCTGAGGGACAAAAGAAACACTTTTAAATTAATTTGAGGAATTCACAAGCGTAGATGTGTCACATCTTGTAAGACATCAACAGGCACAATGAGACAAATGCAGCTCTTACATTCAGTCTATTATAACTCTACTCAACTGTACTGGCTTCATACTAACTCTGGTACTATTTCAGAATCAAAATCAGAAATTCTTTATTCTTCCACAATGAGTCAACTTCCATTCAAGTAATTTAAAGTAAAATCCCTTATTAGTCTATGTATTTCTATGTATATTAGTCTATTATCTCATGAGTTTTCTGTTACACATGTTATCTGCATTATATTAAAGTTGGGCATATATTTTTCCAAAAACAATAGCGTTTCTCTGTTTAAACTTTTGACATGTTCTCTTTGTGCAGTCAAACATGGGGTTTCAATGTTTTGCAAATACTCACACTCATTGTATTTACATTTTACACCATATCACAACTATTTTTTGGTTTGGGGTCGTTCATTTAACTACTCAGTTACATGTGGAAAATAACTGATTAAAAGTTGCAACTTACTTTAAGTAAAACATTTTTTAACTTTTATATCATTGAATTCCCACAACAAATTTTAGCATAAATATTCACCAGAATGCATGAAATGATGTGTTGGATGCTCAACATTTCCTGGGGGAAGAACAAAAGTACCCACATCTTAATACTCAACTAAATGAACCCTGTTGATTTGGATTTAGTGAACCACTGTAGTGATCCAGCTACTAAATACCTTTATATATTAATAAGTTAACTGTTCCAAATATCTCAAATATGTCAGTTTGGAAGGATGAACAGTGTGCATATCTTGGCCCAGTTGTGAACGGGTGCAGAACCAAACTTGAGTCAGACAGCGGAAAAGTCTGCACACTGTTTTAAAAGGTACAGAATATTTATTCTATCAACGTTGCACCCAGCAGGGTATTCCTCAAGCGAAAAACCAACAACATGATATTGAGTGCCATTTCTCAGAGAAAGGTTGGTGTTTGTTTAGAGTGTTCTGTATGTATAAAGCTGTGTAGTGAACACATGCAAAAACATAAATTATAACCCCTATACACCAGAACCATCTAATACAGTGCAGTATAAGTAGGGGGAGGGGATTACAACATAGATAAATAAATAACACAAGCATGCAGGTCTGTACATTTGTTACCTGTTTCTGTAGCTGCTCTACAAAGCTGATGGGATCGGCAAGTGCCTCTCTCTGCTGACGCGCCAGCGTCTCCAGGTCCAGGATGGCCTGTGTACGCTGGGCCTCGAGAACTCCGATAGTCTGCAGCAGCCTCTGATAACTGACATGGAGGGAAGAGAGGTTAGCCAACAGTAGGAGGAAGGGACTGCTGCTTACATTATTTAACCTGACACATGCAATGCTGCAGTGCATCAAACTTTTAGACCCCAGACCATGGATTATTCAAGCAGTGTTCAGAGCCTAAACATTTGCACAAGACATAAACCATTTTACTGAATTTTCCATCTATTTTACAAATACATTGCTTACACGTTGTGTGTGTTCGGATTCTTGACATTGACTGGGAATTTTGCATCTCAGAGCAGCTGCTTACGCTATTATAAAACACATCTAGTTGTCCTTTTAAAGTGAAATATAAGACGTGCTGGAGGTAAGTAAAAAATCATATTGGTATTGAATATACAATTTATGCACTAAGATGTTCTGCACTGTGACTGTGTAAATCACTCAGATTTCTAAGTAATATGAAAACCTTTAGCATGACAAACACTAGGGTTTTGCAGTGCTTATTGCAGTGCTTGAGGAGCCTCTTGCATTGCAGAAGCTTGACCTTTCAACTCGCACCCTCTGGGGCAAGAGAAGAACTGCAAACTGAGCTGTCGGTGACTAAGTGTGGCACTGACTCAGAGGCCTTACAGTGTGAGCAGAGCTAGAGGAATCGACACGAACGTGACAGCATTCTACGTGGCCATAACCTAATGCAGGTGCTCAGTGAAGCAGAGTGGATCAATCTGCTCTAACGGGACATGAATGAAAATCAATGCACAGGACACAATTTATTCAACAGCTGCTGGAGCTTTAAAAATCCTTCAAGCAACAACATTCAAAATGTGTCTACTGTGTTTAACCCCACATCTCTTCATTAGCCACAGTTCTGCACTACATGCAGCTTTGCTGACCTTGTAAAGCACAAGTGAGTGTTGTGCTTTCGTGCAAACTAAATCTGTCAGTGGTACCAAACATGCTCTTGCAGATTTCCTGCACCAAAGAATTGGTCTGATTCAAGTGTAGAAAGTCAGCATCAGAAAGCAACATGCATGCAGACTTCCCCAGATGAACAGGTGATCTTTGCATAAATCTGTTTCAGGGAAATGAGGAGGATTGATTCTAGCACTCTGAACTTTCCCCATGCGTCCAGGGACAGGGTTTCATTGCCACCTACTGGGCCCAAGGTCCACTGGCAAACCCTGGTGCCAAAATGAAAGCTTGCCAGAACAATACAACATTAATGACTGATAATCGAGGATAGGAGGATGCTTTTGCAATTTTTGCATAATGTGTGTGCAAGAAAGCTGTGTCTAAATAGGCAAAGCTGTATTATAAGAATACAGGTTTTCTTGCACTCATACCATTAATCATGCCACTGTCATTTTTCCATATTCAGCAACCCTAAAATGCCTAGTCATTCTTGCTAAAAAACAACTCCACAATGTATTGATTCAAGACCTCAAAAATTTTGCTTATTCAGCACAACTTAAAACTTGGCATGCAAGAGAAACTTTATCGAATTACACTAGGAGCCCACTCTCCAGATCTGAAACATCAACCAATACCGGTGCCAAAGACAAAGGGACATAACCTTAAGACACCTCTCCTCCCAATCCAAGCTTGCCCTCGCCATTTGAAGATGCATCATGAATCATCTGGCTTGCCACTGATCAGTTAGCAGTGCATGACTGAGCACAGCATGAGACCTGTCCACTGACATAAACATCCTAGCTTGGATGACAAGTGTCAACGACAGAAGGAACAAGGTCAGACACAGAAATCATTTCCCTCTAAAACAACTCATCCTACTGAGAAAAGAGCGAACATCCAATCTCCACAAGTCCTGAAAATCTGGGAATTGACAGTTGAGTCACACATTCGCAGAACCAGATTTAAGGCGCAAATGAAATGTGGGAACGTGTCAAACCTGAACAATAAGATGGCAGCTTGATTAGGTGCTCACCGATATTCCCTTAAAATAACTGTGTTAATTACACTTTCTTACAATGTGTTAGTGGTGCAAAAGCCAGAAACGCTTGAGTGCAAATTGGATGTTACCTTTCTTAGGTTTTTGTAAGTACAAAACAAACTATGTTTATATACAAGAAGCTTCTTGAGCGTAGTCAGTTAGTTCTAGTTCTTTTCCCTGTCAAAAAATAACAGGGTGAAAAGATACATTTGAGAAGCTGTGGCAGGGTAATCAGGAAAAGTGAGAAGAAATATATTGTTCAGTGAAATGTTTGATATCTATTTTCTGACTCTTTTCTGGTTTAAGCTTATTACCTGAACTACCGCCTCAAACAGTAATTTAAACTTAAAGGTCTGTGAAATTGAAAATGGCCAATAAACTTATTCAACCTATGAGGAGCAGTCACAAGACGATAATAAAGAACTACTGATCAAGCCTATATGATCAGCATAGTCAGAAATGCTCTTTGACTGATTGGATCGCATGTGAACAGTTCTAAACACAAAGACCATAAATAGACATTCTGATTGAAGGACTCAAACCCTTTCTCAAGGTTTCCTTGATCACATTTCATTACATATCTTTTACAGTTTAAATGCAAATGTATCCTGGTAAAAAATGAAACAATAACCCGTCTCTCTTACCTTGTCCAATGCTCTATTATAAGTTTAAAATGACTTTGTCCTACCAATAAACAGGTTTATGTTTGGGGTTTTTTCAGTTATTGTCCTTGCTATCCCATGTGAAACAAATCCGCTGCTTTTCTGTTGGCAGAGGAGAGGAAATGCCTTTGATAGGTCAATAAACATGGGATCAGGTATCAGGGCATTGGCTCAAGGAACCGTTTGGATGTCACAATGTATTGGCCCAAACCATTGTTTATGGTTGGTTTGGGCTGATCCATTATAGCCTAAAACAGAAAGTGTTTGCTGACTTTCCCTTTTGCATAAATTCTACATTGGTAGGAGCTGGTAGCTGCACCGCTGTTAACTTTAGCTCGGCTAGCTTTTAAGTGCTCAGCTTGGTTTTTAGTATAGATTCCTTTGGCATCCATACGACTCCTCACCAAATCAACCTGACAAAGGATTTCAACCTGTTCAATAGCTGAAATAAGTAGTTACACATAGAAACTGTATGTCTAAAGACACTCTTCAGCAAATAAAAAAAAAGTTTCAATGGAATTCAGTTCATGTTAGCAATATTCTACATTCAACCTGAGCTAGGCGGCACAACGATTACTACAATCATATCCATAGAGGATTAGTTAGATAAAGCTATTGGAATTATTAATATTTATGTCTTTTTTAAATTCTTTGGCAGACTGGCACTTGAACTGGCCATTGGCCCTTTGATTTTCTAGCACAATTGCTGAAGACATTAACGGAATTTGGAAAACTGGAAACAAGGGTGACGCATGATAGACACAGGTGTGACAACAATGTGTAATGGTAAACCAAATTTCTTCAGATCATCAAAACCATTTGAAAAACCAACATTAAATGGGTTCAGTTAGACTATGTATTTAACATTATAACCTAACTAACCTAAAAACTTTCAACAGAAAACACACCAAACATCAGAATATTGTTCCTCCTCAAACCAAACCACCTCAACAAGTAACCCAGCGATTACACAATGTAGTCATCAACATGTGTAAAAGGTGCATTAACAAAGAGAAGAATCCCCTAGGAGCTCCTACGTACTCTTTGTTGTGTTTAAGTGCCAGGTGGTCTGACTCAAAGTAATACACATCAGGCTCCTCCTCCTCCTCCTCCTCCTCCTCCTCTTCTTCTTCCTCCTCCTCCTCCTCCTCTTCTGCAGCCTGACTCTTTGTCAGCGCCTTGCTTTTTCCAGCCTCTTTGCTCTCCACAAGCCCAACCTCCTCACCACCTGTCCTGTCCCCAGGATCCACACAAACTAGCTCCTCAATGGAGGGGCCAATAAACTCTGAGGGAGCAGGTTCCTCAACCATAGGGCAGTCCTCCTCCAGTCCAACCACAACCTCCCCCTCTTCCCTCAAGGGACCATTGTCTCTGGGAGGAGAGCTGAGCTTAGAGGAGGAGGCCTTGCCACCACTGGCAGCCCTCCTGGGTGAAGTCCGCAGGGTGTATCTGTGTTCATAGAGCTCTGTGAAAGAGGGAGGTGTGCTGGATATTGAGGGGGTGCACTCTGGCTCTGTGGGGGAGGGGGTTGTTGCTAGTGGGGGTGTAGTTTCTCCTGAGTTGCTGTTGTTGTTGATTGGACTATTGTTCATATTGGTGGTATTGGAGGATGTGGAGGCAGAAGCTTCCTGCACCGGTGTTAGTGGCCGACCATTGGTATTGTTCTCAGTCTCCATCACCTGTTCCTCATGGGCAAGACACAACGGGTTGCCCACCACATCAACCTCAACCTCCTCCACCTCATGCTCCTCAGCCACTATCAACTCAGGGACAGATTCCTCTGAAACAGCCTCTAAATTCGGCGCAGATGAGGCAGGTAAGTCCTCTGAGCAAGGGACCTCCGTCTGCACAGGGACAGAGTTCTACAAGGCACGGTGGGGTCAGGGGATGAGGGTGCCCCTGTCTGACTGCCATTGAGCAGAGACAGACAGTTGTTGGCAGAGGAGGGATTTGCACTTGGCTCTTCAGTGAGTGTGCAAGATTCCTCTGCTTTATTGTCTTTGAGTCCATTTGAGGCCTTATGAGCATTCGGGGGCTGAGCTGCCCCATCACACTCCACATGGCCATCCTCTGCTTGCCCCCCTGTCAGCTCAACCTCCTCTTTACTGAGGACAGGTGAGACAGGAGAAGTGTTTGCAGAGTTTTGGCTGGGAAATTCTTCACAACTGCTATCCTTGCAGGGCTCTAAGACAGATACCGGACTTTCAGTTTTTAGAAGCACAGGGTCCTCCTCATGTCCCTGAGAATCTCCAGAGCGGGAGCACCGCTTGGCCCTTTTGATTTGAGTACAGATATCACGTGCCCCCTTCCCTCTATCACAGTTCTCGGGACTTATGTCTTTTTCTAAACAAGACACGCCACGCTTCCTTGAGCTGGTCCATTGCTCTGCCTCAGCAGAAGAAGCATTCAAATCAGTTAACTTCCCCTGCAACGAGACCTGCTGCTCACCGTCCTGCTGAGTGTCTGGCTTTGCGTCCTGTTTGTTGTCCTGCTTTGACTCCGGCTTAACGTCTTGTTTGGTATTCTGTTTCGACTCCTGCCTGCTGTCCGGTTTCGGGTCCTGCTTGCGGTCCTGCTTGGACTCCTCCTTTGACTCCTCGCTAACCTCTTGTTTGTTGTCCTGCTTAGACTCCTGCTGCTTGGTGTCCTGTTTCGACTCCTGCTTGGATTCCTGCTGTTTGGCGTCCTGTTTCGAATCCTGCTTGGCGTCCTGCTTAGACTCCTGCTGCTTGGTGTCCTGCTTCTTCTTAGGCGAGCGGGCCCTTGGAAGCGGAGACACTGAGGTCTCCTCCGGCTGGGCAATGCTGCGGTTCCTGAGGGTTCGACCACAAAAGTTTTCATCCAATCCATTGAGCCCCACTGATGACCTTGTGACACGCGAGGATCGGGACGCGGCCATACTATGGCGGGTGCCTACAGTCTCCTCATCCTGGTGCTCTCTCCTCTGCAGCAGAATCTGGGCACCTGTAAACACACAGACAGAAACAAGCACTTCATTAAGTCGAAATAATCACGGAAAAAAGCAAACCTTTACAGCTCAATGATTACATCATAGCACTACCTCTGCAGCAGCAATGTTATGATTGGTTTCACAGGCCGACAAAGCTAAAAATTAGTGCATGAATAGTACCCTGGGGTGTTTGAAACAAAGCGTTAACCAAAAGACCTTTGTTGACTACTGCTCGGATCATTTCTCAGCTCACACCAGAGGTATTGATTTCCCTTGTCATTGTAACTAAGCAACACCCTCTGTCCACAGGAAAAACTAGATGTCTTATCCCAGGTCTACAAAAGTGGCAGATCTTGTCATGGCAGAATATAATGCAGGAGGTCAAATCTTCCATCTTGCCTTAATTTTAATATTTTTTGCCCTGTGACTCTGCAGAAAGTGACTTCAAGCATTTTAAGTTAGAAAAGCCCCCTAAGATGTAAGGCATTTGACTTACAAAATGGTAAACTACCTGCAATAAAATCTAAATTAAATCAAATGTATTTAAATGAGCAATCACACAATTTGTGTTCATGGTTTAGTGAAAGCGTATTTATTTCCTCCTAGCACAGTGTCATTCACACACCCAATTCACCAGAGATAACACTGCAAACATAGGTTTGTCATGCTGTATGCTTTTTATCTTTTTATAACAGGTGTGCAGAGCACCAACAGGCTGCAACTTATCAGAATGTACAAAAAATGAAATTCTCTGACAACAAGAATCCTACACAAGGCTTATAGGCTTAGAGTGAGGGCAACCATAGAGGCTTAGGATATGACGATTCACTTCCTGACACAATTTAAGGCACAACAAAGCCTTCCCAAAATTGCTCTGTGTGTCGCCTGAGCTATCCCGCAGATGAAGTACATTACTGTGCATCTGAACAGAAATCCTGGCTTACAGTGTGTACTGGAAAATAAACACAATCTAAATGCTACCAGGCACTGATAAATAGTCAGCTTAAGATATTTTATTCTTTACTAAATAATCAATTTCACAGATGCAGTAACATCTGATTTAATATAGGTCAGACAATCCATTATAATTTTCCTCATAACAACTTATCTCATTTTCAGGTTCAATCAATCAATCATTATTTGTATAGTGCCAATTCATAACAACTGTTATCTCGAGATGCTTTACAAAAGAGCATAATGGGATAATACGCACGCAGGATTTCTCCTTTGTATTCCTTGCGTTCCTGTTGTCCACAATTCCTTGCTGCTGAGGTGGGGTCGGAACAGGTTGTTATTAAGGCAAACATTACTCGATTTATGTAGTGGGGTACTTAACGAGAAAAGCCTAAAGAATAATGTTGCTTTGGAAATACATCAATTCGAAAAAGCTTAAACAACAAAAAAACAAAAATGCTTCTTTTTCCTGATACTAGCAATTAGAAAACGTGTTTTAGTGGGCAGGTCTGTGTCAGTAAACCCAATCATAATCAAGCCTTCATGGAGGTTTACAGTAATCAAGTTTTCTGTCTGCATGTAGGCATGCAGTTGAACTAAGTCAGGGGAAATTTTAAGATTACATGCAGGGATAAAGAGAGATTTCTGTCCTGGTAAGAAAACACACATTTGTTCCCCATTTCCCTGGAAAACATCCCAACCAAACCACACACATGAGTTGCCATTGAAGTCTCCTCTAGCTCATAGCTCCAAATAATAAATCTAACAGTGCACAATAAAAACGAGACGTAAAGGTTACATTAAAGTGACATTCAAGGGGAAATGATCTCATATGGTGTCCTTTTGCAGAAGATGAGACATAGTCAAAGTATATCCTTGTAGGGGGGGAGAAATTATAGCGTCAATTAGCATTGTGGTCATGCTCATTTACATTAATTGCAAGTACATCAATCTGTGGGTCAACCTCTGTCAAAACTGATTTAAAAGCTCCTTGTTGCCTTGCTTGGGACAATCCCTTCCTTGTCATAAACTTTGCTTACACATCAACAACAAAGCCAGAGGCTGCCCTTGCTACAAATACAAATTTTCTTCAGGGGGACAACATACTAGTCACCTGGAACAAGCACTACCACATGCACACATTACTCACAACTTTCAAGACCCCAACTGAGAAAGCTAATGTGATTGTCCAAGCAGAAAATAAGAGTGAAGAAAAAAGGCGGCAGAAGGGAGGAAGGTTATTCAGACTGAGCACTCACCCTCACCCTCAAATCAACAAAACTAATTAAGCCTGCTCATCTGACATGCCCTCAGAAAAAGAAAACTAATCACAGCTTCAAACTGATCCAGACTACAGTTGTTGTTTTTTTACCTGAATCGCTTTACCTAATGTCCCATTATTTGATACATTGTTAGGAAGGCTGTAAAGGCCTCAAAAAACAAACAATAAAAAACATCTAATGCTGCCTACAGATACCTGTTGGAAACATCTGAATAAAAGCTTTGTACCCAGGAATGATTTAATAAGGCAGCCCTAGTTAGGCTTAAACTCAATAGAACTAATAAAAAATGCCAGTTCTGGATACTTTGATGTCGTAAAATGGAGTGCAAATGGTCAGAGATAGGAAGTGTGTTCAATCTCTTTCTTTTAAACAGTCCAAGCTGTTGTCAGGTGAACATGCAAAGAACTTAATATTTGAGGACCAACCATCATCAAACTTCTTAACCTACGGCAGTCTCCTTGGTTGTTGCATGTGGCAGCAAGAGTTTGGTGAATTAACGAAACATTAAAGTCATGATAGTCTCAATAAAGTATATTCTTTATGCACATCAGGAGTTAAATTTAAGTCCACTTCTTTGTATCCCTAAAATGACTATCTCATTGCTAAAATAGCATGATGTTTTAGAAAATGTTGTGGTCCAGCTTTCCCCCCACATTTGACATCCATGCAGTTCACATTATTCTGCAACTCTTAACTGCTCTTGGTATGAATGAGAGTGTGAATTTTTATTTCTGTCCCTCTGTCACTCCTGAGTTAACTGGAAACCTACTGTATCTAGGTTGTTCCCAACCTCTAGCCCAACACAAGGTAGGATTGGCTTCAGCCTTTGACAAACCACCAAGCATAGACAATAAGGCTAATGGATAGACTGACAAAACTACGCTGTATGACTAAAAATGGTACATTTCCAAGTTATCACAGCCCCAATCAATGTTTCAAATTAAAGATATGATATGGATAACTACTCTGTGGTTGAGCTTGTAATAAATCATGTCAACACTGAGGCCAGAATGTCCGATGAGGGGTCAAATAGACACAATGCTTTGCTTTATGGGGTCAAATGCCAAAGAGGTTGGGAACCAATTCTTTAGACAACAAATCAGCACTTGATGCCTTTGTGCTACTACTGCTGCTGGCTTTATAACAGTGGAAAGTGCTCAGTTACTGTCTTAAAGAGCAATTGCACACATTTAACTGGCTATTCTCTTTAATCTGATGTTATATGAAACAAATGCTGAAAACATGCAAGCAAGATAAGCTCACTTTGTCATTGCAAGGAACACCTCAGCACCACAGTAAACACCAAAAAAAGCACATCTTCATCCCTCTGCAGAAGTGGGGGGTTTGAACAAGTCAACTAAAGTCAGACAAGTCTTTGTTTCTGACAAGACTAGAAATTAACAGCTTTCCCCTTAGAAGAGGCAGTTCAATAATTAACTTTGCAAGTGAGAAGAAAAGCCAGGATATGTCAGTGCAGCCAACACAAGACAGCACCAATGCGTGGCTGTCTCCTCAATCAAACCACTTCCTGTACTTTCACTAAAGCGCGTGTTTGTATGGGGAGGTGAGGTTAACACGTGTTTATTGCATTACAGAACCAAAACCTGTTTACATTTAGATTGCAACAGCTATTCATTTAACAAAAAAAACAAAAAAAACGAACAACTTAGCAAGTTAAAATGTGAAGGCTGGTGTAAGTAGAGCGAGCTAAAGATAAAAGGTCTCTAAAAAGTGTTTAAGATGAGACTACTTATCTCAGCATCTTGCCCTGGAGTTCAATACTTCCAATGGGGCCTATATGCAGAGACAAATCCACGGTGTGTGTTTTGGTATACATACCGATGAGAATCACTCAAATCCCAACACAGTTCATTGTGGTTCAAAGTTGGTATCTGGAGAGGATGCTGCTTCTGGAGAGACTATGAAAAAACCCCTAACCTGCAGCTACACGTGAACGCCGGCTACGTTTTTTAAAAACACTTTTAAGTTTTGCAGCAGGTTTAACTCAAAAAGTTGAGGATTTTTTTAACTCGCAAGCACACACACGTCCTCCTGACACAACAACAACAACAACAACACCACCAAGTCGGGTTCATGGACCCTGACGAGCAAACGTTACTTGACTTAGCTTTGCGGGCTAACCTCAGCCAAGAAACTAAACTTACCGTTAGCTCTTCGTGTCTGTAAATAAAAAACATCGACGCTTAAAGAAACCAAAAGCGTAGACTGTTGCATCCGTGATATTACTACATTACACCCCCTTCCCTTTCCTAACATTGATTAAGAACGCTACAAAACAAGACAGTTTTGTGTGTGTTTCCTTTTGAGGGACTAGTTAGCCCGAGTTGGCTAAATGTTAGCGTCGCTAGTTTTCCTGTTTTAACGCATCGTGCAGAAAACAGCCGGACTCTCCCCCCCCCCTTTTTTTAGCTTTACGACAAGCTAGCACAACAAACGATGCAGAAATAAGTCTAGAAATATCACGTAAACTTTCGCAATTGGCATCGCTGCTAACATATGTGTTCCGTCATATTATATTTTAAAGTCAAACGGCGTAGCTCACATGGTTTTTATCTACTGAGCAGCAGCAGCGGCAGCAGCAGCAGCAGCGGCGGCGGATGGTTAGCACTTTAATGCTAACCGTGGCTGCTGCAAGCCGAGCTAGCTGATTGTTCCGCGCATAACTTTAACCGATTTGTGTGTGTGTGTGTGTACTTCTAATGATGCCCCCCCGGTCGTGAGACGTCTTTTTTTGTTTTGTTTTTTTTGGTTGGCTATTAAACTCGGGGTTTGTTGCTGGAATTGATTGTACACTAGTAAATAGCGTTTTTTTTGGTAGCTGAAGAATTACACATACCTCACTTCCGTAAATTCGCTGCACGTTCGGCCGCAGCCATGTTTCCAATCCAGTCAACTAGTCGGGTCGGGGTGTGTGAGCCGACACTACCGCTGCTCGTCAAAAATGCAACACTATACACTACATTTTTTTATTATTTTTTTTTTACCCCACTGCCAAGGTTGCAGACTGTCAAATATTGTCGGTGTAACCCCGTTTTATCGGTTGTGGGTTTATTTATTGGTGCACGTTTGACTTCCCCCCCCTGATAATTTATACCATCCTGCAAACCCCAGCACAAACAAGGGTGGACAAAATCACTGTGACAACAATGTTCAGCATGTTTTCATCAAGTTTTAATAGTGTCAGCCAGCAACAGTCGGGATGGATCTTATTCTTAAGTGACATCCATACGCACAAACTTAAAAGAGTACAGCATTCTCTTTCGCCTCCATCAGCCTTGAAGCAACACCATGCCCATACACAAACAAATAATGCCTTTTTTGATTAATTTGATTGCTAATGCTGCTGAAACATACTACCATATGTTTTCTGTAGTTGTACAATTTAGTGAAGACAGATTCAGATCGTGTTTATTTCGTGCACAATTAATGAGCAGCTTTGCATTTACATGCAGTTAAATGTGATGTTAAACTGGGATTGATTGTTAAAGCATGCATTCTTAACATACTCTGCCTGCCACATATTTTCTACAAAAAAAAAAAAAAATCTATGAACATCATGATATATCAATCCCTTCTGTGATAAATACCCAAGTGCTGAATCTTAACCAACATACTATCAGTACTGGTACATTCAAATACAAACCAGACATTTGCGTGAGCATGCCTATTTGTATTTCTACAGAACAGTGCAAAACACAAAAATCATTCCTGAGACTAGTCAGCAATTAGTCCCTTCATAACCTTATTATTTCAATCACTTTAAGAGTCACGTCCTACGATTCGTGGGCAGTATTCTTTAACAACAGGAAATGTGAGATATATCTACAGCAAGATGTACTTTCAATCATCAAATATCAGCATCACATGGACAAACAGTATGTGCTCATTTTGGTCAAGAAAGGAAAAATATGGCATTCAGTGGAATTTTTGAGCTGCACATAATTTAAATGCTTGGTTCTTAAAACAACCTTACACATGAATACTACAGTGCTAATAGAAATTTAAGAGCTCTTTATACAGATTTGTACAATATGACAACCTTTTCACACTTCTTCATTTCCTCTGTCAGACGTCAAAGGCTCCCATGTTACTGTAAAGATGAGGTCCTTTACTTGATTTTTTTTCAAATAAAAAGTCAAGTGCAAAATAAAAAGGCTTTTCATTTCTTAAGTGTTTTCCATTGTTTTGTTTTGTTTTCCTGCAGAGTGCTTTATTAAACAGAGCGCGTCTCCACTTCGATCTTCTCTTCCGACTGTGATTCTGCTTCCTGGTGGCTGACGCTTGGCCGGACCGTCAGAAGCGGGCCGCCGGCGTAGATCGAGTGGAGGAAGTTCCACGTTTCTTCAGAGATCTGTCCCGAGTCAGCTCCTACAGTGTCATTGCAAACACACGTAAATATCAATTATATCTGGCTAGT